CTAATGTAAAGTAGCCTACATATACCCAAAAGTAAAAAGTTTTATGAGAATTTTATTATATGCATACCATTGTTTCTCTGAAATTATAGGAAAACTGAAATCTTGATTTTTAGATGCACTGGATAGATATGTAATTTTAATTTTATTTCTTGGTTCCCTAGATGTGTTAGGGGAAAATTTATCATTACATAAATCCTGTTGTGCTCTTCAGCTAATATCATTCTGATTTTAATTGGTATGGTCTTTGTGAGCTATCTCAGTAATTGTTCAACACATCAAATGCGTAATCTTCATCTTCTGCGAGAGCCTAAAGGTTTATTGGAAGATCATATATGGTTGTGGAGGATTCAAAGATTTGGGGGAGTGGAAATGCTGTGAAGGAACCTAAAGGGAATCATCCGAAATGCTCAAACATTAGCAATGATGATTTCGCGTTTATCATGAATACGACCTTTTGCTCAACAAAATGAGGTAGTTGATGCGAGTGAGAATACAGAAGTCAACGTAACAGAGCGTACAAATCTTGATAGAATTAGATATGGTATGGTTGAAGCTGGATGCCAAGACACAACTGAGAGTTCAAGTTCTTTTGAGGAATCTATTTCCGGAGTTGATGAATCTAATCTTTGTGGTGACGTTACGTCACCAGTAGCATTTGGTGAAGTCGGTGATATATTAAGCATGAGGTATTGTTTTTCCCTGGCAGCTTCATTGTTTATATTTTCTTGTTTGACCACTAACTGGGGCTTAACGTTTCTCTATCCTTGAGCCCTAGGATTGTGTTATATAATTCTATGTATTGAAGCAGTGATGTTTCTTGGGGTGAGTTCGGGAGTGAGAGTCAAACCTGAGATCTTTTGAGTACGAAACTATATGCAAGGGTACTTAGCTTTCTCTCTTTGCACTTATTCATCATTTGTTTTTTTATTTTTTTTGTGCTTGGATTTGTGAATTCATTGGTGTGTTGTTTGTGTGTGCGTCTTTGGGTTTGGGTCTGTGCATAGAAATTTCATAACAGTTTATACTGTTCTGCGTTTTAATTATTTGTGTTGTGCTGTATTTTGTTCCTTGTGTTAATGGTGGTTGTTACCAGGGGACATTGCTATTGAGTCGGTAGTGGGTGAAGATGTGGTAGCACCCTTGCCACCACCCCCCGTTGATGTGGAATTACCCGCTCGTCTCGACCAACAGGGGTCGGATTCCGATGACTCAGATGATGGCGTTGATGCAGTTGACGATACACTATTCCCCTCCCCCCCCCCCCCCCCCCCCCCCCTCCCCCTTCTTAAGATTCGTGTGTCCCCTAAGCATCTCGTCAATCCAATTAAGCGATTTAACGCTTGCATGATGCGTGGTGTGGTTTTTGTGTTTTGTTATGTGCGTATAAGGCAACCAGCGTGTGCATATTACTATTTCTGGAGAAATGCATTTTTTAGTCTGTGCGTAGTGTTGATCAGTTTGCCCGTGGTATGTGCATATGGCACAGTTGACATTTTATCATGTACCTAATCACATGGTTTATACTAATGTCTAGTGGTAGCTAGTGTGGACATTGGTACTATTATTAGTTGATCATGAATTGCCTAATCTCAATCATCTTCGTCTTGATAGGTTTTGATAATATAAAAAACAAATGTATGTGCGTACGGGGGAACCAGTCTGTGCAAATTGTTGTGTTGGTTAACAGTGTGTATTTGAATTTAATTGTAATTTAATTTCTGAATTATTTTCGAAATAAACGTGCAATAGACATTTTAACCTCTAACTAATCACACGCTGCATCATGTCTACGCACATACCATAACCAATCACCCCAAAACACCAATGACATTTACTTCGCTCACCCAAAAAACAAATACAACACTAAAAGCATCGGCATCATGCGCACAATTCGGTTTACTGATATGCACCTACCTGTGTTCGTCTTATCATCCAACATCACAATCTACAATTTACGCTACCACTAACTCTTCAAACATTCTGTGTCCTAACGCACTCTAACAAATAGGTTACTCACGCACAGACGTCCCATTCTAATGCTTCTTAAATGTACACTTTTCTTGAGAAGTGTTTACAGTTATCCCTCAGTTTTGTTTGCTTCGTACGCACACAAACACAACGTATTCATGCAATTACAAAACCACACCCAAATCATTCATGTAAATATGCCCATTTAATAACATTATACATGAACACTCTCAATCATCAAGCCTGACATTTTTTTTGGCCGACCTTCCAATTCACAACATTGCATTTCACGCTACTCACACCCGTCATTTCGTTCAGCCAAACGCACACGCTTCCATTACTAAAATGCACACACAAGCACCCATATGCACACGCTAGTCAATTAATATGCACAAACTACTTTCATAATATGCATCATAGTCCAAAAAACCAAACGCCCTTACTCCTGCACAATCTACCCCATACCATTCATTCTGGCCGAATCATGCTTACGCACGTCCCATAACCAAACACCCCAAAACACTAATGACATTTACTTCCCTCACCCCAAAAAACAAATGCACCACTAAAAAAAAAAAAAAAAAAAACCGCCTCATGCGCACACGCTGTTGACAAATATGCACCTACCTATGTTCGTCTTATAATCCAACATCACAATCTAGAATTTACGCTACCACTACCTCTTTAAACACTTTGTGTCCTACCGCACTCTAACAAATAGGTTACTCACGCACACACGTCCCATTCTACGTTGTTTGTATTACGATGCATTCTAAACAAACACGACAAAAAATGAAACCTGAAAAATTCACAAACCGGAAAAAAGTAATGCACACGCCTGTTGACAAATATGCACCTACCTATGTTCGTCTTATCATCCAACATCACAATCTATAATTTACGCTACCACTACCTCTTTAAACATTCGGTGTCCTACCGCACTCTAAAAAATGCACAGACCGAAAACAAGTAATGCACGTACCGGAGTTGCTAGAAGTCATTCCCTATTCTTGATCTGCGCTACTGCCTCCCGATTCAGGTATACACTCCCAGTGGTGCGTTTTGTTTTGGTGGCCTTCTTCATGCAAGTTTAAGGGTCAACACAGGTGGTCAAATAATTGTTAACATCCGTTTCCATTCATATTCTCCTAAAAATAATCCAAAAGATTCCAATTCAAATCTATCCATAATTAAACAAATAACTACAATTACTACTTAACCCTTTTGATTTTAATATATCCTTATTTAATTGAATATTCTCTTCTAATCTCCACCATTCATGAAGAATGAATCAATGACTAATAGGAGATCTCATGATTTCATCTATAATAGGGGTGCACCGGATTCGAAGCCTATATATATATATATATATATATATATATATATATATATATATATATATATATATATATATATTTCGGATATATATTCAATAATATTTTATATATTTTTGTGTGTATATATAAATATTATTTTGAGATATTAAATCGATTTGGTTCATTATTTGCAACATAATTTGCCTCACAAATCAAATCGATTGAAAAGATATTGACAAGAATCGAATTTGGTACAAGAGTTGATGTTCCAACCGGACTAGTTGATTGTATATTTACCCTGGGGTGAACACCGACAATTGTGATTCTTAACCCAGAGCACTGAGGCCAAATAATTGAAGTTGGACGTATATTCAGCGTGGGTTGGACATGCTAAAGTTGTGTTTCCTGATGGACACATAATAGTGAAGACATAATACGATGAAAGCGGAGCTTCTGTCCTGCACAACAAATGCATTTCGGAAACTTATGGCCGCCTAACCCCTCTGCTATCTTCTATTTGCGTCAACACTTTAATGATTGCTAATACTATATATTCACTTAATAATTGCTTTTAATATTTGGTGGTGTATTCATTGGTGCCCAAAAAAATAATAAATATTGTCTAGATTTATTGATTGTCAACTCTGTAATAAATGTATTATTGAACATTCTTAAGCCTAGTTTTGCAAATCTCTTTTTGAAGCATAGCATGACAACATTTATCATTGCGATTATTGTCAACTCTGTAATAAATGTATTATTGAACATTCATAAGAGCATCAATAATAGTGGAGATATTTTGTGATTTTTGTAAGTGTGATTATGAAAAAAATAATTGAATTTTTAAAATATATATTAAAATACATTGTCAGGCGCACTTGATGTGCCACCGGGCGCGTGCATTGCTATGAGCCAAACGTGCACAGCCTTTGATTTTTTTCTTCAGCTTGGCGCACAAGTTATTGTTGCAATAACCCAACTACAGATGAACGCATACACTCTCTCTCCTACAACCTCTCTCTAATTTGTCAATAACTTATTTTCCAAATAACCACCGATAAGGATGCTCTAAGCCTCGTTTTACAATTCTCTTTTTGAAGCATAGCATGAGAACATTTATCATTGCGATTACTGTTTGGAAAAGAAAAAGATATGAAGCAAATAGATTTCATGGGTTTGTGTATTTGGCCATCATCCAGTTTTGGCAACTGTTATACCAGAGACCAGGGTTCATATTATATTGTAAATTTGGTTTAAAAATTATGTTTGCATTAATAATTTTTGTATTTGTAAATAAATTGAAGACAAATAACATGAAAATTACTGATACATAAATTGTTAATTGTAGATACAAAATATGTTAATTATAAACACATATAACAGTTTAACGGTACTGAATGTGTCGATTGCAGGTATATAATATGAAAGTTAATTTTGGACTAAGGTCCACAGTGCAAGGTAAACCATGATCCAAGATATAATTTGCCCAATTTTGGTATGCTCCGTTTCCCATTTCAATTAAACTATATTCAAATTATACATTTATATTTTTAAACTAGTAGTAAATTATACATTTATATTTATATTGTTAAGAATGCAAAATTTTCAGAAATGATATAGCAAGAAAGTTGGATCCAGACAGACATGTTTTATTCTGTTGGAGAGTGAGAAAATGGGGGATGGCGGAGAGGGGAAAAGGAAAAGACAACTCAAAGAAAAAGCAGCAAAAGGGAGCTGTTTTATACAGTTTTTCCCAACTAATAAGTTCCAACAGAACAACGTAGACAAACCGATCACGCATAATTCTGCTGTGCTTTTCAGTCCTTTTCCCATTTGAATTTTGAAACATCATGGCTCCACCATTTACGCCAAATACATACAGACAAAAAGAATTTGTTCCTCTTTCTACATCCCCACATTTAACTGTACACTTCACTAATATAACAAAATTTCTACTTCACCTATGCTCACTAAAACAAACACCAATCGCCAATAATACACTCACTTATAACCCACCCTCGTCCTCTGAAAAGATTCTACTGATAAAATCCCGAAATCTTTTAGAGTAGAGCTTTGGGTCAACAGCGGATATGGATGTGGAATCTACTTGGAACGACTTGTATGCGTGTTCTAGTTTCTTGCTTATATCGTAGTCTTGAAGAATGTCGATGATGCCCAAGTAAAGGATTACGTTCGATGTCTCCCTACTACCCTTGCTGCCACCGCTCCCTGTATAAAAATCATGTTCCATTCGTGATGTATGCACTGCCCTTGCTGGAAGATTTATACCCAAACCACCTTGTGGCTGCTTCCTGATCGAGCAATTGTCAAAAGGATGATTCAATTATATAACAGATTTAGAGCATATTTGAAATCAAGCATGCTATATACTATCTAGAAAATCGGACCAAACCAGCAATGGTCGAACGATTGAGAAAGCAACAGATACTATTCAAACACTGATAGCTACTTCAGAGCCAAGTGGTCCTAACTTAAATAATTTGTCATTAATTCTTTGTTTTGTGGTTTTGTTTTTTTCAGACAGGCATTAGCTAGAAGGCATGCAACAACTTGCCAAAGCATCTAAAAGCATGGTTTAATTTGTCTAGTTTTTAGAATGTAATAGGGGGATGGATCAAACCAGGCAGCTCTTCTAGAGAGAAAATGATAGAACGGAAAGAAACAACATACTCTACATCCGCTATCTGCTCCATCTCTAGCACTGTTGAGTCACATAAACAATATTCTTGAGCACCTCTCTTTCCTGATATATCAACCCATATAATCTATTTAAGATTGGATATCAGGGAATAAACAAACAAGAAGATATTAATGAGAAAATTGCACTTGCTAACTTACCAAAATAATCATCAGATGGCAATCCATTTGAACCATTACTGCTGTAGTTATTGCAAAAATGGACACCGATCAAGAGGCTATAATCCATGATATTCTCAGCTTCCAAGAATTGACAATCTTTGTTGATTTGTCTGAGTATAAAAATTATACAATTACTTATTTTCTATGATGACCCGACCCCGAAGAAAGATTGAAACAATTTCTTTTATTAATTATGCTGCACCTGATAAGCTCTTCAAACCGAGACTTTTGTAGGTGAAAGACAAAATTCAGATCAAGGTCTTTCAATGTGGTTGTCTCATCAACCTGCCCTTCAGGCTTTTCAGTTGAGCGGCCATAAGAGGACCCCTTTAGATCAAAGCGCCTATGGATACCATACTTTGAGTAGAACATATTGCCCATTATAATGAAACGGGTCTGACATTCCATTTGAATATCAAAACTGTATGAAGTAAGTTCACCAAGAAAATAGTTTGAATGCAAGTATTCCCCTATCCCTGATGGAAACCCAAATGCCATAAGGAGTTTATAAACATACCTTTTGTCCTCCTACTGGCTTAACACAATGAACGCCTAAGAACCTTGTAACCAAGGAACTTTTGTACTGGAAAACATGCCGATAATAACTGGAGAGCATTCTAATGAGCACCTGGAACAGCAAAGACAATCAGTACCAAATATCAACTCATTCATTTCTCCATTTACAAGTGTTGCTAAAGTAAAGCCAGAGTAATATTTTTGCCAATTCACATTTTGAATTACTGTCACTTCCCCTTTCTTTTATCTCATAACTAACCAGTATAGTTCTTCATCGAGAAGCCAGGTTTCACTAACCTTAACTTCAGATTTCTTCACAGTTTTAATGATGAAGCGATCATCCTGAGTTAGATAGAAAATGCTTCCACTCTTCCCAGGGGAAGACAGTTCTCTAAGTGCATTGTTTGAACAGAGAGCTGCCATGTAGTCAGCTGGATTGATTCCAAACAGATCCCTTAGTCGTCTAAGAACAATGACACAAAACAATCACTAATATGATCACCCACAGCAGAAATTAAAAGGGACAAGCTAAGCATAAAATTCCTTGAAACATACTTGAAAACCATGGGGCAATAATCCTTCCATTTGAAGTCCGGGGCCTGATGGAGTGGAGTGCATTTGGATCCCTCGGGTGGAAACCTTGTCCAGAACTTGAGGTTTGGATCAAAATCTGCATTCCTCAGTTCACATCCGATTGCATTATGCTTTTCTACTGAATACCTGCCCGTTTCATAGTACAGACATACATACAATACATACATAACCACAATTGCAATTGCCAATTGGATACACATAACAAGACTGCAATTCCACACTCAACATTAAATGATTTACCTTATACCGAGCTGAAGGCTGATCACCAAATCATAATTCTTATGCCCCTTTGATATGGGTTGCCCTGGTTTTTTCATTTCTACACCCTCAGATCGACAGGGACTCTTCCTTAATTCCAGGCTGCAATCTCCTTCTGAACTTTCACTACTCCCTTCATCCTCATTCCTCTGAAGATACATGGATGAGGCCTCCACATTGTCCACAATATCACAAGTAATATCCCCGGCATCGCCGTCGGATTCCCATATGCAAATCCTCGGCATATTCACATTCCTCTCGCCGACATTTGCCCCGCTCACCGACGATCTCCGTCGATTCTGGACGCCATTAGTGCTATTGAATTCGTGATGGGAGGAACTGTTATCCCCGCCGCAAGAGCCGCCGCTGGTACAACAGATCCTCCCATCGGGCCAAGTGAAAACTCCGTTCCCTTTCGGCATTCCATCTTCCCAATCCCCTTCGTATCTCTTCCCGTTTGCCCAAATAAGAACTCCTTTACCAGACATGACGCCGTTCTTCCACTCTCCCAGGTACTCATTCCCATTGCTCCACACATACCTCCCCTCTCCGTCCTGCAAATTCCACTTCCACGACCCCACATACAAGTCCCCATTCGCGTAACGCTTCTCGCCGAAGCCGTGCTTCCGATCCGCCACCCACCAGCCGCGGTAGGTGTCGCCGTCGGCGCCGATGAAAGTGCCGTGGCCGTCCATTCTCCCACCTCTGAAGTCGCCTTCATAGGTAGCTCCCGACGGCCACGAGAACTTCCCATTCCCGCTCGCCGTGCCTCTCCTCCACTCACCTTCGTACATACACCCATCAGCCCAGAGATACTTCCCGTTGCCATGCGGCAGGTTTCCCAAGAATGTGCCCGTGTACAGATCTCCATTGGGCAGCACCCGCTCCACCATAGTAGTTGCGACGGCGACGGCGACGGCGGAGTCATCGTCGGCGGCGGGGATAATCCGCCTCAACCCAGGCTGAGATCGGGGATGGTGATGATGATGATGATGGTTGACCGCCGTACAGGGTGGGACGATTATCACATCCCCATCTTCTTCTTGAGTCTGCAGATCATCAGATTTAGTCTTCTTAGCTACAGCAGGAGTATGAGTAGGAGGAGCACAAAAAGTAAGTTCAGTTTCGCGCATATTGATCATATATCATGTAAAATGTGAGCTGAGCTGAGCTAACTAGCGGCGTCGGAGACTGGAAGCCGGAGCAGATATCATCGCCGGCGAGTTGTAATAATTGTCAGACTAACTTTTGCTTTTGTGGGTTGAAAGAAAGATAGTCGTCGTAGTGTTAGTGGAGGGAGCAGTAAAGGAAATGATTTTTGGGATTTACGTATGTCTGGAGAGAGTGAGTGAAGCGCGTCTCGTCTCCTCTGCTCTGCTCTTGTTGTTGTTTCCTTTTACGTCAGGAAATGGAAAAATGTGTGGGAAAAAGAAAAAGAAAAAGGAAAAGCGAAAATGGGGAAATCGCAGAGAATTTCAATGGGACATCGACATGGCTGGCTGCTCCTGCTTGCTTGCTTTCTCGCCTCGTCATGCGAGTCAGTGACGTGCTACCATTTCTTCTTTTATGTCTTTTATTTATTATAAACATTTTTTAAACTATGAACCATTTGACTTATTTTGGCCTTATCAGCACCGTAAATAGTAATGCTGGATTGGGCAAGTCCCAACCCTTCTTAAAATATATACTCCGTATCATTCTATTTTCATAATTTGATTATTATACCCATATTTATCTTTTTTCTTTTTCATACATAAAATTTCCTGTTTGCGCCATCTTAATTTTAATGTGAGTAAGACAAGATTTCAAAAAAAAAAAAATAAAAAATTAAACTTTACTCGAAACTTCGATTGTTTGGAATGTTGGAATTGTTGAAGTTGTTATAAATGAGTCCATGAGAGTACTATTTATAGTCATTCTCTTGATATTGTAAAAATTTAACTTGATTCTACGAGCTATAATTTTAACTCTAAAATTTTTTCGAATTTCTACATGTTATGTACATACTTTTAGAAAATTTGATAACTACAAAAAGCTATGTAGAAGTGCAAGAAGGGTCTAGAATAGTATATCAAATCTCGGGAATTCATAGCAAGGTGCATCGAGTGCTACATGAGTGGAGTTTGCTCAATTTTTGAGGATAACAATGCTTATGTGGAGGAGAGAGAAAGAAATGAGTCTTTGCATGATGTGTTGTTTTTGGACTGAACATGTGGGGCTTGCTTGGAGAAATTGTTGGTGCCTTGTTCGCGTATTCAGCAAAACTGGCAAATTATGTTGTGCATCCGTATGCACCATGCATGGTGCATACGGATGCAAAAACGACGTCGTTTTAATAAAACGCGTGTCTCCCCTTTAAAAAAAAAATCAGGTTCGATTCCCAGCAACAACATATGAACTAAAATTCCATAATCGATGAACTATAATTCCATAATCGATGAACTATAATCTAATCTATGAGCTAAAAATTCCAGAATGAATGAACTAAAATTCCATAATCTATAAACTAAAATTTCATAATCGATGAACTACAATTCCATAATCGATGAACTATAATTCCATAATCAATGAACTATAATTCCATAATGAATAAACAATATAATGTTGTTGCAGGGAATCGAACTTGAATTTTTTTTAAAGGGGAGACGCGCGTTTTTTAATAAAACGACGGCGTTTTGACATTCGTATACACCATGCATGGTGCATACGGATGCACAGCATAACGATTGAGCAAAACTTCTATTTTTGTTTTCCTCTGACCGTTTGTTTCTTTTTTTTTTTCTTTTTTAGTTTTTTTTTTTTTTGTTCACGTTCTTCTCTTTCCTTGTAATCTGATAAAAAAAATCCTAAAAAACATGCTTATTAGAGATGTTCTAAGCCCCTAACCCTTACAAATAACCACATGAGAAGTCATGTTTATATTCTTAATCATCCACTTCCATTATTATTTTGTTACTAACTCCAACTTGCCAAATATTACTCTTGGGCTTTTGAAAAGCATTTATGTCATACCAATATGTATATATAAGGAAGGGTAGTGATGTCTTTAATTTATAGCATATACAATCAAGCATGTTTTTATAGTTGTATCAAAAATAGTAAGAACAAGTGATTATAATATTTAGTGCACTCAAATATACTATGTGCAATTTAGTGATTATACTTTGTATACAAAAAATGTTCATATTGATCAAAATATTGACAAAGTTATAAATTTATTTTGTCATTATATATTTCTTTAAAAAAAAAAAAAAAGAGTAAAGACTATATGTAGATCAGAAAATATTGTTTGATATTTTTATTATATGCGTTGCATGCATGCGCTAATTTAATTGGATGTGTAAGTTTTATATAACTTATATTTCATGAAATATAATCTAAAAACTAATAAGTATGAAAGAAAGTTATACTCTTCATTTGTCTGTTTTTTTCATTAATATTTTTTTTTATATACATTATGCTATAAGGTGTACTATATAATATTTTGGCCAAAAATATTCCTACTATTATAACTTCTGTTATCATTTCCAACAATTGTTGCAGTACACCATCCAATAATATATAGACATTATATATTGGAGTATTATAGTTATTTCCTAAAATATAAATATCAAATTTATAAAAATGGTTTACATTATTATTATTATTGTTATTATTGTTATTGTTATTATTGTTATTATTGTTATTATTATTATTATTATTATTATTATTATTATTATTATTATTATTATTATTATTATTATTATTATTATTATTATCTAGCTAAAATCTAAATAAATCTAAAATACTAATATTGGACATCTATTATATATATGTTACACTCTTATTAAAATAAATGAAGTATTATGTTTACATATTTTTGATCGACCTTTCTTGAAGTTAATCCAACATCTTTTTAATTCTCCCTCTATGTATCTCTTGCTTAAACTCTATAAATATTGTATTCTACTAAATTAAGAAAGATATAACCACTACTAAAACATTGTACATTTCCCAACACAAACAAAAGCCTATTGAAGTCATTTGTAAACTTTAGGTTATAACATTTTTAACATAATCAATAACATCTTTATTTTACTCATTCACTTCTAAGCATACAATCATAACACTTGATATTACCCGTATGGACAGCTCAACTAGTCATAGAGGTGAAACTTTGGAAGAATGACTAGAGATCGAGTCTCACCAGTGACAGTGTGGGAGCTACCTCTCAAAGTGAGTGGGGTTCCTTGTGTTGAGTTACCATGTTTTACATCCTCCCAAATGCTTTGTCGGGTTGGGGTTCAACATTTTGGAAGAATAACACTTGATATCATATAACCCATAACTATTAATGCTATCAACCCTTAACATAATTTGTTTGGTAATTAATTGTTAGCTAATAGTTGTTAGTTGATTGAGTTAGTGGGAAAGATGTTTGGTAAATTGGCTATAGCCGATTACATCTAAAGTGACTTTCTCAAAAAATTGATCGAAAAAGCTATTTTGATGAGTTTTTGAATTTTGGCCCTGTTTGGTAAAAAATTGGCTTATAGGCCAATTTTGACTTATTTGACCACTATTAATTGTTTGGTTTAGTTAAAATATCAATATAAATGTTTGGTTAATTAGCTTTTTTCAACTCCAAAAGGCTAAAATTCAAAAAGCTACTCTAAGCAACTTTTTCAATTAGCTTTTTGAGAAAAACAATTATATCAAACAGCTATCAGCTAACAGCTAATTTACCAAACACTTTTCTACTATCAGCTAATGGTATCAACTATTTATACCATCTAATTAACACAATCAGCTAACAGTCATTTTACCAAACAGGGCCTTTAACATTTTTGAACAATAAGCTGTTACAAAAAGCTATTTATTCGAACACTTATATTGGTTAAAGAACTAAGTCAAACAACTAATAGTAATCAAATAAGTTAGAATTGGATGATAAGCTAACTATGTTATCAAACAAGACCAATATGAATGAATGTCAAATTAAAGTATATGAGATATATCAACTTATTGATGAATAATTATAATTATTTTACATCTCTCTCTAGAACACATCTAGGGTTTTCGCATCCATCCTAGGGTTTCTAGGTTTTCGCAAGGTCGCCGGTGGAACCGTTCGGTCGTATGGCCGGTGTTACGCAGGGAGTAATCGGAGAAGAGGGCAGTGGCTTGCAGCGGCAGAATGATATCGACATGCGGCCTCCGACGCCGGTTGTCGCGGCGGGCGCTGAGGCAGGTGTGGCGGCAATCACCGAACGCTGGGCGGACTGGGCTTTGGAGGAGGAGACTGCTGCGTTCGTGCCGGCAGTGGGTGAGGAGGATGACGGGGGGTGGGTGAGGAGGAAGAGACATGGAAGGTAGTTGGCCGTTTTCTCACGCAGAAGATAATAAAGCTTGATTTTATGAGACAGGTTCTTGCATCTGTGTGGCAGCCGGTTAGAGGAGTGCAGGTAACGGAGATCCAGAAAGGTTTATTCCTATTCGTTTTCTTCCATAAAACGGACATGGATTATGTTTTGAATGGGGATCCCTGGGCGTTTGAGAATAACGCGTTGGTTTGTCAAGAAGTCCAGGATGGTGTGTTGCCGGGGGATGTCCATCTGAATATGATTGATATGTGGATACAGCTACATGATATGCCCAGGGGATATACGTCACAGGCTATTCTGGAACAAGCAGGGAATTTTATGGGCACTTTTATTAAACATGATGATCGTTATGAAGGGGCTCCGTGGTTAACTTTTCACCGGATTCGGGTATCCATACCGATTGATCGGCCTTTACGAAGGGGGATGAAGTTGATGAAGAGGGATAAGACTACTGCATGGGTCACTTTCCGGTATGAACGATTGCATAAGTTCTGCTATTTTTGTGGATTCATGGGGCACCTGCACATGTTTTGCATTCATGCAAGGGAGGCAGGAATACCACTGGAACGGTACCCGTATGGTCCGGATATGCATGCTGGTGGATCCCGAAGCGCTCCTAGAGCGGTTGGGGATAGCTGGCTCATACCGGTAGGGGGGCGTCCGCGTCCGGTGGTGTCTCGGGAACCAGCGGGTGTTACGGCAATTATGGAGTTGGAGGATGAGGGTGGGACGGGAAAGGTGGTGGAGGGGTGTGTGGTAGCATTGGCGAAACGCCGTAGGCAGGCGCAGGTGGATGGGGCGGAAGATATGGGTAGTAGGAGTGACATCACAATGCAAGATGGCTCAAAAAACTTGTCCATGGCGGGAGCTGGTGCCCAGCCCCGCCCATCATCATGAGTACTTTGAGCTGGAACTGTCGTGGCTTGGGCAATCCACGCACAGTTCGACAGATTGTGGGCCTAGCGTCCAGTAAGAAGCCTGATTTTGTGTTTTTAATGGAGACCAAGGTGCCACGGGTACATGCAGAACGGATCCGTGTTACGCTTGGGTATGAGGGTTTGTTTTATATTGATAACGATGGATTGAGTGGAGGAATGGCGCTTTTATGGAAAAAGAATAATACAGTAAGACTATTAAGCTACTCGTAGAGTCATATTGATGTGGAAGTAAGCTTGTTTAATAAGTTATGGCGCATGACATGTATCTATGGTATCCCCGAACGAAATAGGCGGGAGGAGACATGTGATTTACTTGGCACTCTGAAGAATAGATCCTTGTTGCCCTGGGTGGTGATACGGGACTTTAATAATCTCCTATATCAGCATGAGAAGAAGGGGGAAAATCCGTATCCTAATAGCCTGTTACGGGGTTTCGGAGATGCTATGGATGGCTGTGGTTTGTTGCAAATGCCAATGAGAGGCCACCAGTTTACGTGGCAAAAAGGAAAGGGGACGCCGAATTGGATAGAGGAAAGGTTGGACAAGACTCTAATAACGAATGATTGGGGTCTGATGAATGAGAATGCATGGTTGGAGAACATTCGAACTCGGGCCTCGGATCACTCGATTCTTTTCCTCAGTATTAATGCGATATGCATGCCAAGGGGAAGGGGGCCGCGGAGATTCAGGTTTGAGATGGCTTGGCTGTTAGATGAAGGGTGCAAAGAAGTAGTAGAAACGTCCTGGCAGGAGGGGAGAACGGAGGGATTGCTACATTGTCAGCAGTTGAGTGGGGAGAAGTTAATGCGGTGGGGGGAGACCAGTTTCATAAATTCGGAAAACGAATTAAGCAGCTACAACAGAGGCAAGATGCCATACGGAATAGGCGGGATTTGGTGGCGCTAGCTGAGTACCAACAGATTGAGAATTCCCTGAAACGAATTGAGACCCAAGAGGATGTATTCTGGAGACAGCGAGCCAAGCAACACTGGCTACGCGGGGCAGACGCAAACACAAAATTCTATCACAGGTATGCCTCTGCTCGTAAGAAAAAGAATTTTATTTCTAGTATTAAATGTGATGCTGGTAACTGGGTGGAGGGGGATGATATGCATTCCACTATACTAAATTACTTTGAGAATATTTTTGCCTCTAATGGATTGAGCTGTGATGATCCAATATTTGGGGTCCTAACCCCACGAGTCACCTTAGAACAAAATATGATGCTAGACCGCCCTTTTGAAACTGATGAGGTTAAAGAGGCTCTTTTTTCAATGTATCCGGATAAGGCACCGGGCCCGGATGGGTTAAACCCGGGTTTCTACCAGCAGTTTTGGGAGATAGTGGGAGGAGATGTATCTGGCTTTATAACGAATGCTTTGAATTCCTGTGTATTCCCCGAGGGATTGAATGATACTAACATTGTTTTGATCCCTAAGAAAGAGATGCCTGAGACAGTTGCAGATTTAAGGTCGATTGCGTTGAGTAATGTCATTTACAGAGTTATGGCCAAGATGATAGCAAATAGGATGAAAACACTTATGGGAGGATTAATATCAGAATCCCAGAGTGCTTTTATCCCGGGAAGGCTAATCACTGACAACATCTTGGTGGCGGCAGAGGTGGGGCATTATCTGAATAGGAAGCAATGTGGTGTAGTGGGTTGGAGTGCATTGAAGCTAGATATGTCAAAGGCCTATGACAGAATGGAGTGGATCTTTCGGGAAAGGATGCTGACTGTTATGGGTTTTAGTGAGAAGTGGATAAAGCTCATTATGCTGTGTGTAACGATTGTTAATTATACTATAATGGTCAACGGTATAGCAGGGGTGCCTAAAACCAACCAGGGGTCTCAGGCAGGGAGACCCTCTCTCTCCGTATCTATTTATTATTTGTGCAGAGGCTCTCTCGATGATATTACAGTATGAACAGTTGACAGGTTCTATACATGGATGCAGAGTTGCAAGGGGAGCACCGCCTGTATCACATCTATTTTTTGCGGATGGTAGTCTCCTATTTTTTAAAGCAAATACCCAGGGCAATGCCTTGCAAGGTATGAGAAATTGTCAGGCCAGATGGTGAACTATAATAAATCTAATATATGTTTTAGCAGAAATACCCAGGAGGATGACATGGCATAGGTAGCGGATTGTCTGGGGGTGGTGCAAGCACCCAATTTTGGAAAATATTTGGGCCTACCTTCCTTTGTGGGGAGAAATAAGAGAGCTGTTTTTTCATATGTGGAGGAGAAGATCAGGCAACGAATTGGTTCGTGGAGTAAAAAGTTACTTTCTCAGGCTGGTAAGGAAGTATTGTTGAAAAGTGTAGCGCAATCTATGCCTACCTTTTCAATGAGTGTTTTTTTGTTACCTGAGACAGTTTGTCAGTCAATTGAGCGAACTATGAATAAGTATTGGTGGGGGAATGGAAGAGAAAGGGGAATACATTGGAAGGCTTGGGACAGGTTGTGCATACCGAATAAGTATTGTGGTATGGGTTTAAAAGAGCTAAGGGCTTTTAATCTAGCTATGCTGGGAAAACAGGCATGACGTTTTCTAACAGACCCAGGAACACTCGCAGCAAAAATCTATAAGGCAAGGTATTATCCCACAACCAGTTTTACTGATGCAACTGTTGGTAATTGCCCAAGTTACTATTGGAGAAGCAACTGTTGGTAATTGCCCAAGTTACTATTGGAGAAGTATAATGGCAGCCCATGCAATAGTGGTCTCAGGAGTGCGAAGGAGAATTGGGAATGGACAGACAACTTTAATATGGGAGCATCCGTGGTTACGAGATAATCCTAGCCCATTGATTCAAACAGAAATGCCAGAGCAATTGAGAGAGGCACGAGTTGCAGGATTAATTGATTTACAGACTCATACCTGGGATCCACATATTTTATCTGACTTGTTTATTCCTGAGGATGTGGAGCGAATAAATATGATCCCTATTAGTCCTGGTTACGAGGACTCATGGTATTGGATGAGTGACCCAAAGGGGACATATACAGTGAAGAATGCCTATAGGCGTATTGTGGGTGACTATGAAAATAATCCCGCGTTTTTTGATAAATGGGTTACAATGTGGAAAGTAAAAGTCCCCCCAAATGGAAAACTTTCTTGTGGAGAGCCATCTGTGAGATTTTGCCAACAACCATTAACTTGTATTTAAAAGGGTGGAGGTGGACCCAACATGCCCAATGTGTGGTTTAGATCATGAAGATGTGTTACATGCTTTAGTGCTCTGTGAATATTCTAGACTTGTTTGGAATATAACACAATTGCCTATCACTAATATTGTTGCAGACTCTTTTACAACATGGCTAAAAGGGGCTATGGCGATCTTGACAGAGGAGCAGACCCGGTTGATGGTAGCAATATTATATTACATTTGGAGAGCCCGGAATTCAGCTGTCTGGAAGGGATCAATGACGCGGCCTGCCCAATTAGCCAGAGCAGCAACCGTAGCACTTCAGGCGTACGGCGCTGCCCAGGCCCCCCGTGCCGAGCCGGCAGCGGCATCGAAGCCATTAACCGAACCAGGGGAGGGCGGTCTACGGTGTTATGTGGACGCGGGTTTCCGACACGACACAGGCGAGGCTACGTACGGCATGTTAATAATAGCGCCAGATGGCTCTTTTGCGGCAGCAAGGAATGGCAAATTACCGATCTGTTTCTCACCACTTATGGCGGAGGCCCAGGCATACAAGGAAGCACTGTCCTGATTACTTGAACGGAACAACACATCAGTAAGTTTACTCACGGATTGCATGGAGTTGACTACAATTATCCGGCACCATCACACGCCGATCCATTCGTACGTTGGGGTCACAATTGACCAATGCAGAACGCTTATGTCTTTATTTAATCGTATTACTTTGGATTACATCTCTAGACAGGTTAATTTACATGCGCATACTTTAGCTTCGTTGCATTTACACAGGATCAAGCTATGTACTGGGATGCTATCCCACCTGACGCTATTTCGGCTTTGATTCATTAATACAATCGCAAGATTGACCTTTAAAAAAAAATAAAATAAAACACACACAAACATTTGTGTCATTGTGTGGGTTGGTTAGTTTAGTTCCCATAAAAAGTAAGGATGTAAGTAAAATAAATTAAAATGTTGAGGATGAAGTAAAAATAAAGAAATCAATAGGGACAAGTGTGTAATTTACAGTAAATCGACCGCAAAATTGGGTTTCGGATAACCGTAAAATAGGCCGCGAAGCAAATATCTGCGCAAAGAGCTCTAAAACCGTCAATGGCGTCCTGTATCTCTACTTCGTCTACTTCTTCAAATCTCTCTGTAGTTCTTCAAAGCTCATCTTACAATCCTCGATTCAAACCTTCGTTTCCGATTTCAGTTCCAGTTTTCAGCTCTTCTAATCACAGAGCGTTGAGGATGTGTTGCTACGCGGCGGCAAAGCAACAGACCGGGCCGGTGAAGAAGCGAACAAATTCCAAAACAAAGAAAAACAAGAGGTCCAGTGGTAGTACTGCTCTGGAAGCCGAGGTGATTGACGAAGATGTTGAGCTCGAATTTTACGAAAGAGGGGCGGCATCTTCCGAACGTTACCACCCGCTGCCGCTGCCGAAACCTCCCGCCGGTTTTGTGCTGGACGAGCAAGGCCGTGTTCTCATGGTTTCGAACAAACGTATTGTTACAATTGTGAGTATCTAGTGCTCGCAGTTTATTGTTGCTATATCTGTTGCTCTGTAATTCATTTTTCATAACGGTGGTGCTCGGTAGAGAATATTTATTGGATTATTGAGGTTTTAGGCTAAAGAGTCCAATGCTTGATGAAGATTTTGGATTGAATATCTTTTATCTCGTTTAATACAACAGTCCATCTGTAAATTGGACCTGATTATGGATTATTAATACTCATAATTATAGCTATAATTATAAGTTTTGCCAATGGGAACCGAAGTTGAGCATTATGTAGTTGTCTTAGGTGTTTTTCAATAGCACAGTCTGGTCCATTAAATAATAATTCTCCTTACAAGACAGTAACCATGGTAGAATATGGTGGCTCTGGACAATGGACATTGCTTTGCATATTCTGGATACTTCTTGGGCTGGTGACTTGGCCTGCTAGTCTGCTACTAGGAATGTTAAGGATGGTGATATGCATTACAAATGTATACTGGTTGTAAGTTGTAACCAATGTTGAATGGTTGGGAGCTGTGAAATGTTTACCGTGTTAGATGTCTCATACACAGATGACATGTCTTCTATACAGTGTGAAATGACAATGAAATGATGAAAGGGAAAATGGAAGAGGGGTAACCAATGATACTCGAAGATTGGCATGCCTTCACATTCATGCATACACTTCTTTGGTGCATAGTCCTACTGATTTGAAGTTGAAATCTGAAAATCTCAATGTTCATCAATTTATAATCATGCCTTTTTCAAATATCAACTTTTCATTCCACTTCATACAGTTTCTTATATTCTCCCTCCAGAACTTTTTATTCCTGAATTGTCTAGTTATTTTATTGCTTAAGACTTTATTCAGTTTAATGATTCTATAGAGTTGGGTGACAGGTGGATTCCTCCAATAATTTACCCCTAGAGTGTATCATAAGGAGGGTATTCAGAAGTACACAAGGGGTTGAATGCCTGCTACTCTGCCCTCTTGATATGTAAGTAGCTTACCATATGGTACCAAACTTTGCATTCACTGAGAATGTTTAACTTGATTTCTTCCATGAAGAATTACATCTAACAAATAAAATCATATCTGCAGGCCTATTCTGATCTTGAAGAGTGCGAATTTTGAGGGGTGGTCAGCTGTATGTTATAACTTTAATTTTAGTCATTCAATCCTCAATGCTTGTTTGGCCTGGTGTAATTTGGAGTCATATTTACTCAAAAAAAGTAGCAGTTGGGCAAACAATTGAAGTATTTAATAAACAAAAATGCTTTATTGCTTTAAGGCTAGATAAGAGGAAAGAGCCTTTGTTGGAAAGCTCATAATTGAGGCTTTTCATGAAAGCCTTGTATCAAGAAGCCATCAACTAGGCTAAACAAACACTAATCTATTGTATTGATGCTTGTGAAGAAAACCATACCAAAAGAACAAAAGGCAAACACAAGTGCATGATTTATGTTTTCATTTGCAATAGAAGGGATGACTCAACTTACATCCAATTTATACGCACATCTGCGTGATAGGTCAGTGATGAAGAAGTTGAAACTATCCTCCCTACGGCAGCCTATGCTCTTGCTAAGATACACATGCATCTGGTACATAGTGGGTATGAGCTATATGTATGACATTTTTGCTACTAATTGCCTCCCCTTATTTGCTTTGTCTTTTGGAGTTATCAGTTCTGATGTGTCTTTTTTTTTTTTTTTTTTTTTTTTTTTTTATAAATAAATTGAACTAGGTTTTGCTATACTGCACGAGGAGGATTTTGCTATACAGAGGGTGACATATTTGACCTTTGCACAGGTAGTATTTTTATTGCAGATATTCTAATTTGCATATTTTCAACTGTTTACTAAAGTAAAATTTAGTTAAAATCCCCATTTTCTGGATATTATTCACTCACTATTAGTTGTGATTTATGAATGAAGAAATCCATGAAGCATTATGTTCCCTGGTTATAGAAATTAAAGATAGTTATTGGATATTTGCATGTAGGAGAGAGAACAATAAAATGTAGGATAGTTCTTGGCAAAATATTCAGCTTATTAGAACGATAAGATAAAATGTTTTTTTTGGCACCTCTGCAGATGATGGTGACAGCGTGGAGGGTGTGCCAACTGAGGGCGTAGAGATCACATGCTTCCATCTAGTATGTTCTGTTATCTCTCGGGAGAGTAAGCTGCTCTAGTTTGGTAGAGTGGTCCTGCCTTATAGATCTTGACTAGATTTGCATGTATGTATGATAGTTGAAGTTGGGGGGTGATATTGATAGGGAAAAATTATGAATTCTCTTAGAGTGATTCTAATGTTTTTAACCTCCAGAACTTGAAGTAACAAGTCTCATATGGATAATTTGGTAGAGTATTTCAGAAACTTCATAGGTGCAAAGTGCAATCTGTATAACTATTTTCTGAATAGAATTTATTTTACCTTGCATGATGCAAGATCCAGCTCACTGGATCTTTCTTATCAATAAAAATTCGGGTTCTATAAAATTAGGACTGGTGTCTTCTTTTTTATTCTTATTTTTTAAATTATTATATTATCTTTGGTTTATATTCAAACTACATTCTTCTTCTCGGAATACTTTGCATGCGTGTGTGTGTATATATGGGATTTGCTTATAATGTTTGCATGTGTTAATCAGCTTGGTACATTTTGGTTCTTAATGGAAAATTGGAAGTTCTTGGAACTGACCCCTCTTGGATTGGATTAAAGCTTACTTGAGTTTGTATTGGTTTTGCATTTATTTCTTTTTGCATTTTAATCTTGATTTCCTGTGTGTAGGATGGTTCTCACTATATGATTTACACACCTTCGGACCCACTTCTTTTTGTTGCTGTGAAGGTATGATATCATATCACATTTCTATATGCTTAGTACCCTATTAATCTAGAAAATCTTCTCTGATCATCAGAAAAGTTAGTTAATGTGAGATGTCTGACTGCCAATTGAGTATACTGATGGAAATGTACCATTAAATTTATACGGTCAACAAGTTGAATGTTGAAAATTGGAAGCTATGCTAGAGTCCATTTAAAAGAATCCTTCATTGAAGCACAAAACTTTTCTGACCAAATCCTATACAGCTTTGTCGATGTGCATGAGTTTGAGAAAAATGCCATCAGAACAAGATAGAATGCACAGATATAAGAGTCTTCAAAACTCTGCTTATCATTTATCTAGCTCTGCTTTGAAAACTCATGTGGACTCTATAACATTCATAACTGGCTTCTCTAGAGAATGCAATGTTACTTTTGCCAAGTTGGGTGAGGATGTAACAAGTTCTGTTTTGTCTGGAATTTGTTACTGCAGGACAAGGATGGTGTATTTCAAATTGCTGAAGATGTAAGTATAGCATGTTTTAACATAGATTACTGTTTGCTTATGTTGCATGCCATGATTCTCTCATTAATTCATTGAAATATGAATGCACATTTTATTTGAGCAAAGAGCTCCCAGTGAGGGGTTTGATCACATTAACTGTTCATCACTTCATCTAACTGTACCCCTCCTACTCCCACCCTAAAAAGCATACAAAAATAAAAAGAGCAACTTAAGAATGGATAAGCTGAATGATGAGCTTTCAGCAGAATTTGACCATTTCTCAGATTTCTTCTTCTTTTGGCATAATATATCCATCACCTTTCTCATCCAAGTACAAATGCATTGCTTATTCATCCTTATGTATCACTTTGTTTACTAGTGGACAGCTTGTGCTTGGTGTTCTTCCCCAATAAGGATGATTTAAGTAGTAATCATATACATATTCTCCATATTATTGTCTCGTTTCCTCCAAATATCCAAATTATATACACATACAATTTATTAAAACAGGAACTATTGGAAGACCCTGCAATCGTAAGTGCCATTGATGAGGAGACAGAATTCAATGCTTTAGTGGTATGCTTCTTTCAAATTTGGAGTATCACACGAGAATTCATTCATCAAATATTTCAAATTTGATTGTTCTCATTTCCTAGTCCCTTTTCTGTTGTAGGAAGAAGAGGCTGCTCTTTTTGAGTCACTATTGGGCGAAAGGTAGCCCTGGATGATCCCCTTTTGAAATGCATTTGTTTCCTTCTGTTTTGTCTTCTTCGGTAATCAAATTCATATATAGTGTAGCTCAATTTGAATTTATTGTTTCTTCACGATTGTATAATTGTATTTATTGCCGGACAATCCCCGCATTTACATCACTGGTGAATGGTGATTCCGGGTGGAAGATAAAGACTTGGTGCTACGGTTTGAGTAGCTTTTAAGTGGCCCAAAATGAATTGAATATTCGGTAAGTTTTTTTGTCAAATTATTTTTTTAATGTAGTTTCTAAATATATACTCCATAAATCTTATATACAAGTATTAAACTAAATTATTATAAAATTTCATTTCAAAAAAAAAAAATTATTATAAAATTTTGAATTATAAATAACTTCAGCCAAATTTCGTTAATTGAATGATACACAAAATGAAATTTCGTTAATTGTTTCAAAGTTTGATCAATTTTATATAATTTGTTTTTTGTATTAAAAAAAATATAATTTATTTTTTTACTCGTAAGTAATTGTGTTATTTATTTTTTCTTTCGTTATAGTAATTTTTTTTTTTAAAAGAATATCAAAAGGTTCTGAATTATTATTATTAGCATCGTTACCACCATCGCCTCATCGGCAACTACCACCTTCACCTCTACCACCTCTACAACTACCATCTCTACCACCACCTCTTTTGTCACTACCACACAACCACTACCTCCATTACTACCACTCTAGCACCACCACCACTACTACACTACCATCACCATTGCGCAGTACCCCCTTTACCACCACCTCTACCACTGCTACCTCCACCACTATCACTACTACCTCCACCACTATTGAATCTACAACTACCACCTCCACCACTACTAACTCTATCATTATTGCCTCCACCACTACCATCTCTACCACTACCACCTCCACCACTATGGACTCTACCACTATCATCTCCACTATTATCGGCTCTACCACTACCGTTTCCACCACTACCACTTTCACCACTACTGACTCTACCACTACCGCATCCACCACTATCACCTCTACCACTACCACTTCCACCGTTAACGGCTCTACCACTACCGCCTCCACCACTACCACCTCCACCGTTACCGGCTCTACCACTACCGCCTCCACCACTATTGTCTCTACCGCTACTGCCTCTACCACTACCCCCTCCACCACTACCGACTCTACCACTACTACACTACCATCACCACAACTTCCACTACTACCACACTAGCATTACCACTTCTACAACTACTACTACTACCTCCACAACAATCGCACCACCACCACCAACCCCTCCACTACCACCGGCATCACCTTCACCGCTACGACTACTACTATCTTCACCACTACCACCTTCACTGCCACCAATGCCACTCCACTACCATCACCAATTATTATTATTATTATTATTATTATTATTATTATTATTATTATTATATAACAAATAATATGTTATTTTAAGAAAATAAACTAAATAAAAAGATATAATTTTTTAACTTTCTACGAAATAAAAAATAATAATTTTTTAAATTTCAACCAAACACTAAAAAATTAAAATATTTTTAAAAAAATAAACCATTTTCTAAGTTTTCAAGCATATCCTTATCGGCTCATTAGCCATAGTTAAGCCCAGAGATATTAATCATTTCGACCCGGATATGTATTAGTTTCTATACATAAAAACTAGAGAGGGGGGTAACAAAAAGGCAAAAATTCTTTATTTTGCCTACTTGCACAAGAAATTTCAAACACTGAGTAGATATAGAGGAGACTGGAGAGTACAACTGCAAGCAATCTCAAATATATGGCATGATTGTTACAAGGAAGGTCATATTCCAAACTCAATGTTAGCTTCGTGCAACTGTGCAAGATATATTTCACACTCGCATCCTCTTCACATCGTTTTCTGGGACATTCACATCATTTCCGTTGTCTGTCACCTGCGCAAATACGATATGAATATCTTAACACATTTGCCACATGCAACCCAACCCAACAAAAGGGGAAACAAAAAGAATAGCATTGGCGCAGAGAAACATACATTCTCATCTGGAACAACTGCGTATCTCTGTGTTGGCGAAACCCAACTTTTTTCAGCTGAAAAAAAGGTTGGGTTGGAAAACAGTCAGAAAACATCAACAACCTGACTTTTTAGACCACAAATGACAAATAGTATCCGGAGCAAGGCAGTTTGGTTATAGAACCTGTAGATGGTTTGGATTTAGGAGCTTCAATTTGTAGGTTTCTTGATCCATCCATGCTCAATGCTTCTATGATCTTTGGGGCATTCCTTCATTTTTCGAAACAATGTCAAAAAGTCAGATTACAAGAGTAGAAAGTTCAATAGACACCATTGTTGGATGGTTTAAAAGTGAACTTATTTGGATAACAACACCCTAACATAAGTTTAAGAGAAAAAAAAAAAAAGTTCAGTTCCATTATGATGCTATCTCGCTTGCAAGCTTAATTCAAGATCTCATCCCGTAAATATCTTCAAAGTTTCAATTCCATCATGATGCAGGTGACAGATATACAAAGAAAGTTGCTACAAAAAATGGGTTCTTAATTTTTATTCTCCCCCTCTTATTTTTCATCTCTCATTCCCTCTCTCTCCTTTATTAACTTTTACACTAGTTACAAATACATGTTTATGCGATTTTTTTTTAAAGCCCAATAAACAAAAAACAATGGTGAAATTATATAATCAACATAAATGTAAAATTATATGATATAACTATTATGAGAAAAAAATTATGAAAGATAATATAAGTAATTAATACATTATAAATAAATAAATAATGTAAAATAAAATTACAAAAAAATTGTGTGTACCAAAGATAAAGCACAATATACAAGTTAATATTGCATCTAGTTCCACCAACACACTTTTTATTCTGGTTAGACCTTTACCCTCATTGACTTTATTATATATTTATTTGTTTATTATATTGTATACTCCGTATAAGATAAGAAATTGGTGTAAGGGCAGTTTATAACTAGCAATTGCAAAAGCATCCTATTAATTTGTTTCTGTTACCTGTCAGCAGATTCTCCATGGCCTAACTGTCCATTTGTGCCTCTACCCCAAGAAAACACATTTTGCCTTTCAGTAACAGCCAGTGTATGCCTCCAACCACATGAGACTGCAACTACTTTCTGGCATGTATTAAAGCAGAATATCATCACCACAAAAACTGAACTAGGACTAAAACTGGAATTTCAAAAAGATTTTGGAAATGAAAAATTACAACGCCATGCCTGATCGTGTGGAAATTTGACTTGTATGGGTGAACAGTGATCAACATTGTCACCAACACCAACTTGTCCAAACTGTACTCATTGAAGGGAAAATTGAAAATCAAAATGAATGTCTAATACAATGGAAACTTACATTAAAAGGATTTTTTTTTTTTTTTAAAAAAAAAAAATACAAACCCTCTAATGATGACATAAATAAATAAAAATTGGATACTGAAATCATACAGTGTTGCGAGCTTTCACGAAATGTTTATACTACCAAAGGTAATAATATCAAGGGGTTGAAAAAAATAGCTACAGTTAACCTAAATTCGAAGATACTTAAGAAATTATCTTTTATGAACTAGAAAACAATAAAGAAAGGAATACATCCAGACATCCAGTTACTAGTTACTGATAAAAATAAGCTTCAAGTGTGAGATGAAGCAAATAACATAAGAAGGATAAATGGAAGAAGTCATTCAAAAAAAAAAAAAAAAAAAGACATTACCTTATTCCATCCCCAACCATAAAGCTTGCCATCAGTTGTAAGTGCCATGGTGTGTCTCCATCCACCTGAAATCTGTAAAAAAAAAATAAAAAATAAATAAATAAATAAATAAATAAAATTACAATATATCCATTTGCATAAGTTGGTTATAAATGCATTTCAAATATCAATGCATAAGTTGGATAGTATGTGTATTGTTGAGATGAAAACAGTTCTCTGGATTCATGGAGTTAATAAAAAAAAAATCATTATGTATTTGCATTCAAGCAACATTATATTAGGATAAACAATGTTGACACAAGCTCAGAAAAACCACATATTAAAGGAAGAAGCACCTGAGAAATAAAATCGCCATGCAAGGTTTCAAGCTTACAGGGAACAAGGTGGTCTTCAAAATCCCCGTGTCCAAGTTGGCCATATTTGCTCCAGCCATAAGTATATAAAGAACCAGAGGAAGAAACAGATATTGTATGTCGCCATCCACATGCTACCATTACCATCTTTTCTCCCTGCAAATTTAAACTATCATAAAGAAGCCAAAGAAGGGACTATGAGCACATAGCAAGTACAGGCCAACAGAGACCAATCTAGGAGCATTAAGCCATTAATAGAAGTACTTACATGCTAGTCTCAAGCATAATAAAATCAAGTTTTCTCCAATCAAACACACACAGGTGAGCATAAATTCTACATCTTAATCACCTGTATAGCTGAAACTTTTTCAGGAACTAAGCGATCATTTCGGTCACCTAAACCCAGATTACCATATCGACCCCAGCCCCAACCGTAAAGCTCGCCATCTTCTGTCACAGCAGCTGTATGTTCAGCACCGGCAGCAACCATTTTCACAGGAACTCCCTACAAAAAGGACATTCCAGTAAGTGAATTGCAACATCATTGAGCAATCACTTTTCTGTGCCAAATGGAGCAGAAGAGAAGTTTACACAAGTTTTGCAGTTGATGATTAAAACCAAAATTCTTTGTCAATGAGATAGATATGTACATTCATTTCTATGCTAGGTTGTGGGAAGGACTGTTTAGATTTAGGGATTTGCATCTTGCTTCAACAAACACAAAGTCACAAGAAACATGAGCATAAAGATGAGAAGTGTAGACAGACATGTTATGGCAAAGGGATGCATAAATTATACTCTGTATAATGTTAATAGGCCATAAACCTATAAGGAATATAAAAAAGGAAAAGTGTGGTTCTCCTACTGTACAAAGTATCTGGACTTTTTTTAACTCAAAATGCAAAATCTGGAAATACCTGAAATGTTTCAATTTTCTGAGGTACAAGAGAATCCTCTATAGTGCCAAGACCCAGTTGACCATTTTGATTCCGCCCCCAACTTCAATTGGATAGAACAAGTAATTGAAAGGAAATGAAATGAGTCATATGCTTACTGCTTCACTAAACACATAAAATAAATCAAAAGTAAAATTGCACAGAAATTTTGTTTTGACGAAGTTCGCAACAAGTATTGAACTTAGAACATCAAAATTAACAAGCATACAAGAGAACAGGGAAATAGAAAGAGAGGACATTCAACTAAAAACAAATGAAACATCAAATATCATCAATAACCTGTTGCATCTTAGGAATTGCTTGGATTCCTTTTACTATCATTCTACATAAAAATGAACATCCTTTGAAGTTTCTATCTGATGACAATTCAGTGGAAACACTAAGGTGTCTTTCAAAGCTGACTTACTGGTCACATAAATAACAAATTAATTTCCCAAACCTAGAGCGATAATTTTATGCATCCATAACTTTACTTTTAATACTATTTCTCTTCAGTACAGATTTTGGGGAGTACATGCATGCAAAGAGCTTCATCCCTTGGGAGAACTCTCATAGGATTGGAGGAATACATTATGTTTGATATCTTAAGTAATTGGCTAAAAAATTTCAACAATTCTAAGAAACCAAAAGAAGACTATAACTTGGCATGTTTACACGGAGATGATCAGAAGTAGGAAATGCAGCAAACCTTTGGACTTCTCCTTCCATGGTAACAGCTAAACAATGGCTGTCCCCACAAGCAATTTGCTTTATCTGTATCCCATGCAATGCCTTGATTGGTTGAGGAGTAAACAAGTCAATAGAGTTTCCATGTCCCAACCTTCCAAAGTCACCCCTGCAAAAATTTCACACTAAGCAAACATTGTACATTACTCAAATCCAGGCCTACTCCTATGAGGGCAAGGAACAAACTGGTTTTGAACTATGTACTAAACTAAACCAGTTAGGTGTCTGTCATCATTTCAACAGATTATTACCAGGCTTGTCAATTTCACTTACTAAACTAACTGCCTGCAGAATAATGAAAGAATATAGGCAATCTAACCAGGAAATATATATATATATATATATATATATATATATATATATAGGTAAATAATAATAACGGAGTATTTTATTTGTGAAAACAGTCAATATGAATATAAATGTGGCCACAATGACCAAATGTAACAATGCTTCTGTCAAAGATCTTTAAAGTAGCAATGTACTCCATACTGTAATTTCATTTTTGCATTGACAACTTAAGCTCTGGTGGAAAATTACTTCCTTGAAATTGATGCCGCCACAGATCCTTTAACAGTGCAGTTATAGAAGATAGGCTTACTTAGTAGTTAGTACGCTAGGATATTAGCCTAGAAATTAGAAAATATTTTCATTCCACAAATTTTTCTGTACCCCTAATACTTAAGGCAGAAGTCTAATTCGGACCATGTAAAAATATCAAGAGACCTTCATTTCTTATTTCTAATCGATTATAACTTTAAAAACATAAATAAGTACACGTACTGGTTTGTAAATTAAGTGACAATACAATAAAGGAATTTCTGTCCTGAGGAAACAAAATTTGATTTAGGTCATTATCAGCTGTATACATTAATTGCATCGATCAATCAATGTACAAATCTAAATCAATATAAATCAGAAAACCTAGATAGTGTAAAAAAGACTTGCATACAACATGAAAGTGGTGCATGTAGAATTATCAGATTATGGTTTTGACACAAGAACCCTATATAATAATTAATATATAATTAATAATAATAATAATAATAATAATAATAATAATAATAATAATAATAATAATAATAATAATAATAATAAGGTAGCATACCATCCCCAACTGTACACCTGCATGAGTGACTTTGAGTAAGCTGTTGTATGATCAGCACCACAAATAACAGATACTACTTCCTGGCCGTCTAATGCGCTCACTTGAGTAGGTAAAAACCTATCATCAGCATCCCCATGGCCAAGCTGCCCATCCTCTCCTCTCCCCCATGCGAAAACAACATTTCCAGCTATAAAACATCCAAAATCATTTCATGTTATCAAGGCTAACATTCACCTTATGAAGTAATGAAACATTAATGGGCTTCGAGGATTAAAATGCATACCGAATATTAGTATAGGGGGATTGATCTAGCTTTGAGTCACTAAACTTTAAAATATTATTATCCATAACATATTATGATATGCATAATGCTAATAAATATTTCATGTACCTCATTATTTACAGTAGTAATAAATAAAAATGAAAACAGAAGTATTTTATTAAGATAAAGTTTATTTTGAATAACAGAATTGGGAAATAGCATCTGGAAATAATTTATTTATTAAGTAAACTATGTTCTAAGTCATCTAGTGAGTGGATGTGATCTAGTTGAAATACTAAGGGCAATCTAGTCATTTACGAATGATAACTGATAAGAGTTGTGTTAGTCGTGTCTGACTCTTCGTTTTCAGAAAATGGCGCGGGTCACTCTGATGCTGCCGCCGAGAAGGAAAATGGCGTGAATTACGATTTTATCCCTAATAAATTTGATAACGTGGAGCATTGCGATCCACGCAACCTCAGGACCTAACCTCTCTGATCGTCGAAATTAACGGAACGCAACAGCCATATATTACTGACTTGCGCGAACGCGTTCACACTTATGCTGCAAACCTAACCTTCAATCTATCATCTATGCACAACAGCGATATATTACTGACTTGCGAGAACGGATTCACACTTAGGCTGCAAACATAACCTTCAATCTATCATCTATGCAAAACAGCGATATATTACTGACTTGCACGAACGCGTTCACACTTAGGCTGCAAACCTAACCTTCAATCTATCATCTATGCACATAGTTCTCATCATGCAATTTTGAAATCAACAAGTAATCGAGCACTTACGTAACTCAAATTCGTAAACAGCTTTACTGAAAGTAGATATTATTACGTATTGGAAATCGTAGAACAGATAGTTCGTTCGTGCGTGCGTGCGTGCGTGCGTGCGTACATAACGGATGAAGGGGAAATTGGAGGCGGGAAACTTACCGAGGAGAGCAACGGAGTGGCTAGCTCCGGCGGAGATGAGAAGCACTCTACGAATCGCCGCCGGCGTACTGCTCGATGCTTCACTAATGTAACTGCCACTTCTTTCATCCGCCATTTCTCTGTGTCTCAAGACGGTTAAGGAAAGTCAAAGTGTGCAATATATTTGGAGGGAGGGACAGATAGAGAGAGTAATGAACGAAGGGTGTTTACCTGGGAGAGAGGAGGAAAGAGACTTAAATAATGCGTTAGGCATCTGGGCGCAATGGCATTTATGACGATAGAGACTCCTTGTGGAATGCATGTGCACACTGCCATACTGTTCCTCCTATTCAATAGAGACTTAAATTCTGCTTTTATTGCCAAGCGAGTTAAATTATGATTCTTAAAAATTATAATTATTACTTACTAGTAATTGAAATTTAATTTTTTTTTTTTGAAACAATTGAAATTTATTTTTGAATTATTAATTTGCATAAACTTAACATATATGAATGGTTAATTTTGTCGGAATCCACTCAACTTAAAACATCAAAGTGTGTGCTTAGACTTCTTGGTGAAAAATTTGAAAGTCAATCTTGCGATTGTATTAATGAATCAAAGCCGAAATAGCGTCAGGTGGGATAGCATCCCAGTACATAGCTTGATCCTGTGTAAATGCTAACGTAGCTAAAGTATGCGCATGTAAATTAACCTGTCTAGAGATGTAATCCAAAGTAATACGATTAAATAAAGACACAAACGTTCTGCACTGGTCAATCGTGACCCCAACGTACGAATGGATCGGCGTGTGATGGTGCCGGATAATTGTAGCCAATTCCATGCAATCCGTGAGTAAACTTACTGATGTGTTGTTTCGTTCAAGTAGCCAGGATAGTGCTTCCTTTGTATGCCTGGGCCTCCGCCATAAGTGGTGAAAAACAAATCGGTAATTTGCCATTCCTTGCTGCCACAAAAGAGCCATCTGGCGCTATTATTATCATGTCATATGTAGCCTCGCCCGTGTCGTGCCGGAAATCCGCGTCCACATAACACCGTAGACCGCCCTCTCCTGCACCGTTTAAGTGCTCCGTTGCCGCTGCCAGCTCGGTTCGGCGGACATGGGCAGCGCCGTACGCCTGTAGTGTTACGGTGGCTGCTCTGGCTAATTGGGCAGGCCGCATCATTGATCCCTTCCAGACAGCTGAATTCTGGGTTCGCCAAATATAATATAATATTGCCACCATTAACCGGGTCTGCTCCTCCGTTAAGGCCGCCATAGCCCCTTTTAGCCATGTTGTAAAAGAGTCTGCAATAATATTAGTAATAGGCAATTGTGTTATATTCCAAACAAGTCTAGAATATTCACAGAGTACTAAAGCATGCATCACATCTTCATGATCTAAACCACACATTGGGCATGTTGGGTCCACCTCCACCCTTTTAAATATCAAGTTAAGGGTTGTTGGCAAAATGTCACATATGGCTCTCCACAAGAAAGTTTTCCACTTGGGGGGACTTTTATTTTCCACATTGCAACCCATTTATCAAAATTTGCTGGATTATTCTCATAATCACCCACAATATGCCTATAGGCATTCTTTACTGTATATGTCCCATTGGGGTCACTCATCCGGGATCATTTTTATTCGCTCCACATCTTCGGGAATAAATAAGTCAGACAAAATATGTGGATCCCAGGTATGAGTCTGTAAATCAATTAATCCTGCAACTCGTGCCTCTCTCAATTGCTGTGGCATTTCTGTTTGAATCAACGGGCTAGGATTATCTCGTAACCACGGATGTCCCCATATTAAAGTTGTCTGCCAATTCCCAATTCTCCTTCGCACCCTGAGACTACCATTGCATGAGCTGCCATTATACTATAAATTTTGATTCATATAAAATTGCACTTTTTATCCCTAAATTATATGATAATTGTAGAATTTGTCCATAATTGTTGGTCATACTTGCTTTTTGTTTCTAAGTTATCATTGACCTTGCATTTTTCGTTCATTTACTAACAAAACATTATGAACGAAATTTGCAACTTTAGTATAATTTAGAGACGAAAAGTGAGCACAAGAAGTTAATAACATGACGAAAAGCACAACATACACCAATGATAGTTTAAGGGTAAAAGTAAGTACGATCAACACTTAAGGACAAAAAAATGTAATTTTCACTAAGTGTGAGAAAATGTGTGTTTTCAAAAAGGAGAATATATCTTTCCTTCCCTTGAAATGTTGTACAATTGTAGATTATTCAATACAAAATTATTGTTAATCATCAATATCTAAAATAATTATCTACAGATTCCTTATTAAATATGAACATGTATCAATTAGTTGAGAATGCCTTTTGATTACTTTTACAAATGTTAATCAATGTATGTCGCTTCACGTAACAGCATGGCATTAAAACTAATGTATACTTAGTCAAGAATTAGGCAAATTACTTGATACCTATCACTTGACTAAGAGCAACCTGACATAGTACTCTACGGTCTCATCCAACCAAAATAATCTTGTTGCATATTTTGATTAATTGAATCATTAAATTGAGGGATAATTAATCAAAATAGGTTACTCAAAAAAAAAATCATTTAATATGATAGGAATATTCAAAAAAGTTTAGGAATATGTCAAATTAAAGTATTAAAGAATTAGGAAAAAGGAACAGTGAGATTTCATGTACGACAATGGGAGGTGTCATAATCGAACGATGAACAATAAATATAATTAAGTGTACGTAACAAACAGGACATTAATGCAATGGACGTTAATTGAATTTAGTTTGGACAACAAAGAAGAATGAGCAGTGCTATTAGGTATATACAATACATGAGTAATGACACGAGACTTTTTTATTTATTAAATGGGCTGCTCAAACTTCATAAATTGACACTTTAGCCCCCATTACATGCTTTAATTTTGTTATTGGAATTAATTACATACATGAACATGATCCTTAGCTTGTTCATGCAATATAATGCATGGCGCGCAATGACTAAATACTTCACTTTAGTAGCTAGTCTTGAATGGTCTGTAAAGCTTAAGATCAAGAACCACACCGGCGAACGAACCGGCGGCCGCCGCGAGCGACACCGCCAAGCAAGCGCCGCTCAGCATTTGGAGGCAAATCCACCGGGTGCTCCACTTGGGTATTTTCTTCTGTGAAATGTACATCCTTACCGGAAAATACACGGTCAACGGCCAGAACCCGAACGCCCCGAGAATCCCAACGACGTCGTTGAAGAAAGGCAGCAACATGGATATGACGGTGGTTAAGAGCACGAACGCCGTGCGCCACAGCAACCGGAAAGTATTCAGTTTATACGGGTACCCGAACCCGGGGATTTTCAGGTTGATTTCCTTGGTGATGATCTCGCTGTCGGGCCATTTCGCCCCGACCCATTTCTCGATGAATGCAAACAGCGGCTGGCAGTACACTTGGTAGGCTCCCACAAGGTGGATGACGATGGCGGCGTTGGCGATATCCAGGAGCCAAAAAGGGTTGTAGAACCCGAACCCGGTTAAGAGATTCCCGGGCGCATCATCCCCGAATGCTGCGTAACCCATGCACCCGCATAGCATGTAGAAAGTTGTAGTCACTATAGTGCTGAACAGGCTAGCTTTCCTCATCGTCTTTGATTCTGACGGCGGAGATTTCACCGTGTCCTGTACGTATAGTACGACATAAACATGAACACTAGGATCATAGTTTTTTTTTTTTTTTTTTTTTTTTTTTTTTTTAATAATAATAATACTTATAATTAAATATGAATAAAAACCTGAATTTCAATAAGAATGATGGAATATGAATAGGCAAAAGCAATGTCTCCAAGAGCTTGAAAACTCCTCCATATTTTTTGGGTTTCAGTAACAGTTCCAATGCTAATGCCAGTGAGGCTGCCCTTGAAAGCCCCGTTAGCTGGTCATCATATATAGCACATTAAACCATAATATAATTACCGTTAAGTTTTTTTTTGAAAGCTAATTACCGTTAAGTTAATTATTTGATTAATCACCAAATTAAATTCAATAAGTAATAAGCTTAATTGTAACGGACCAACAACTTGTGCAATTCCAAGCCCCAATCCAATTCCAGAGTAGGTAAAGGACATAACAGCAGCAACTATTGAGAGCCACCATATTTGATCAAAATCCGGGATTTGAGATAGAATAATTTCTATAATTCCAAAAGCAATCATGTATGGATTGCTCGACATATGGCACGGGTTCTTTCCTCCACTCTCATGGAAACAATTCGATCTTTTGATCGCCCTATTAATTCAACCCACAAATTTATTAAAATAGTTTGAAATATATATAAATCGTTAGTTTAAATTGTCAGAAAGTAAAGATATAATAACAAGCTAAGCTCAAAAGGTAATTAATAAGCATACATCATGCTTATTGATGCTGCAATGGTGTAACCAATGGCGATTCCAAAAAGGTTGAAATATTGAATCAGCCCACATATTTTGACTTGATATCCTCCTGAAAGAAAAAATGAAATTTATACCATTGATATGTGATATGTCTATAGTATTTGAAGTGAAGAAGTAGGTCCAAAATTTGGGCATACATACCAAGATTAGATCTAACGGCATCCATGTAAGTGTAATTTCTTTTGCCAAACACGGGGTCTCCGGCACGGTAACAATCGGCGAGGAGGGTAGAAGTGTAATAAACCACACACGAGAATAATAACATCACAGATGGGCCGGCAACCCAGCCCAACTGCCCAATAGCCCAAGCTAGTGAAAGCACTCCGGATCCAATCACCGCCGTTATTATGTGGGCGCTCGCCGTCCAAACCGTCCCTTAATTTTATTTAATAAAACAAGAAATTTTAGAACATCATAGTACAATGCACGCAGGTTGTTTAGAACAGGAAAGAAGAAGATACCAGTCCGCTGGGGTCGACCGTCATCATCAAGCCCCTTGAAGCCATAGAGCGGTGGCGCGTCAATGGAAACGCCGAGGTGGTGGCGGTGGTTCTTGGTGGCAGCGGCACTCTCACCCATCTGCATTATTTTGCTTCCTCCTATCCCTCAACGGAGGAAATGAAAGAAAAAGAAAAATATTTTTATGTACAAAAGAGGGAATAATAGTAGTGAAGATAGGAAGAGATGGGTGATTGCTGCACTCTCTTTCGGTATGGGTCTTAAGCTATTTATAGGCAACGAAAAAGGGCGATTCCAACATTATATTCATATTTTAAGTGCTCATTTCATTTTAATTTAATTTAAATTTTAAATATTTAGTCCACAACATACATTTTCTTTAATTTTTTATATACCACGATCGAATTGAATGAAAGGCGGGTATAATATATAAAGGTTTTTAAATGCTTTTGTATTGGAGTCCGACGTGTATTTTCTCCGCTCCATCCATGTTGGAACAGAATCAGTGCTCTGCTTTCCCACACTTTAAGTTGTCAATATAATTTTTTATCCAAATAAATTGGCAAGTTGATTAAATAAATTGATATTAATGGTAGAGCGTGGTGATAAACATATACTGAAACCTAATTAGTGAATGATGGATTATTGACTCAACTTGTACTGAAATTTAGAGGTCAATCGTGTACTGTTCTCATTCTTTGGGACTAAGAAATAGGTCACTGAGACTAGACACAAACGACAAAAGAGTCACCTCCACCACCACCACTACTGTAGACATCACATGAAGGCTCAACAAGTGTTATAACCGATTGAGCCACGGGCACACCGGTAACATGCTGCCACAATAGATATCTAGTATGTGTTCCCACCCTAACTACAGTATAAATATAGAGCTCTTTCAGCTTGATATAATTTCCGATCTTTTAGACTTTAGTACACTTCTCGATCATTATAGAGCCTCCAAAACTCACTTTACATTATATATACTTGAACTTATACTAAGAATGTTGCTATATTCACTGTCACGTACGCTTATTACATTTCCTACATTATTATATTGTACTCCGCATCTTATTGATACATGTATTCTACTAAAAATATTCTATAGCTAATAACAATATATATCACTAATAAAAGCTTAAAACTCATCATCGACATTTAATTAATTATGTGTAGACTTATAACTATCACATGGGAGCCTCATTATATTTAAAGAGTTTATAAATAGATAATTTGTTATACATGTATAATTATATACGATTTAGAAAGTGCTTATAGAATAGTGTGTTAATTAATACGGATATGGAGGGCGGGTTGAGAAGTAATAATGATTTGAAGGTGGTTGAAGAATAATGAGCATTGAAACTTGAAAGTGCATGGATGGATGAAATTAAAAGGCGTTGGTGTATGTAGTGTAATCCATAATCGCACTTTGACATGAGGAATAAAACTAGCTTACCATCCAGACAACTTTTCAAACTTAACAATATATTTTGGTGATTTCTTAGCTTTGTGGTAGATCTAGATGCTAATAATCCATGGCACCTTAGATTCCATTTAGATCCTAACCGTCAAATTGTATTCATTGGCAAAAGCATTATTATGGCGCATTATGCTAATTTTTTCATTTATTCTTTTTTTTTTTTAAACCATTATTATTTTTAGTACACTGTACTCAAATATGAGACTTTCCTTATGAAAAGGAACAGTGATGTCATCAAATCATAAGGTATTTGACAACATAACCCCTATTAGTTAAACCTACATTTTTTATATACTACTGATTTGGATGGAGCGAAATGTTTTTTGATTCTTGTATTTTTTTTTTGTTTGAGTATTACTAACTTGTTATAATGCAGTATTTGTTCATAACCACTTTTTCAATCTACTGAAATACAAAGAGTCAATATCGTCCTCATTGAGACTCGAACTTATGACATCCCCTAAAAGAGAGCCACCTCGTGCAAATATTACAAAGTATGAGATATTTATACATATATAATTAACAACTAGTCATGCAAATTTCATGAATCATGATATATAGCTAACTACCTCCGCATGTTTAGGATGCATGTAGTGTCTGATAACAACTTTGGTGGACTAAGTTTTACTAAACTAACCTCACAAAATGCATGGTTGATTTCATCTCAAGTTAACCTCTTCAAACGATCGACTTTATCCTACTCAACCTCATTCCTTATTAGGCTGCCAATTTGTGGGCAAATTATGCCCTGGACCCGTGTCTACATTGAATTGTGGACACGGGCCCAAAACGACGTCGTTTTTAAAAAAAAAAAACGCGTCATTTAGTTAAAAAAAAAAAAAATTCGTGCGCGTTTTGCCGTTAACGGCGTTATTTTTTTTTTGGATTATAAATGTACAGTTATGCCGTTATGAATGTACAGTTATGCCGTTATGAATATACAGTTATGCAATTATGAAATTATGAACACAGAGCTCTAACATTATGAACTTACAATTATGAACATATATAGTGATAAAATTATGACCATGGAGCTTTAAAATTGTGAATATAGAGCTTCAAAGATTATGAATGTACAGTTATGGAGTTATGAATGTACAGTTATGGAGTTATGAATGTACAGTTATGGAGTTATGAATCTACAGTTATGAGATTATGAATCTACAGTATGGAATTATGAATGTACAGTTATTGATCAAATTATGAACAAAGAGCTCTAACATTATGAACTTACAATTATGAACATATAGTGATAAAATTATGAACATAGAGCTCTAAAATTGTGAACATAGAGCTTCGAAAATTATGAATGTACAATTATGGAGTTATGAATGTACAGTTATGGAGTTATGAATGTACAGTTATGGAGTTATGAATGTACAGTTATAGAGTTATGAACGTACAGTTATGGAATTATGAATGTATAGTTATTAACATATAGTAATAAAATTATGAACATATACTCTTACAATGAAGCGGTCTGAAATTAAAAAAAAAAAAAAAAAAAAAAAAAAAAAGAAGGAGATAACAGTGCCTAACGGCACTGTTACCCGTGTCCAGCAAGCATGTTGGACACGGGTCCAACGCATAACGATTGCAATTTGTGCTGAGATTATATATATATATATATATATATATATATATATATATATATATATATATATATATATATATATTTTGTATAGAATGATTATCAAATTAATAATTTGTATGTAGGTTTTTTAATACTCTATAAATGATAAATGAGTAATTGATTTGAATGATATTATTTCAACTTATTATGCCAATGACTTTGTGGTTAAGTGCAGGGCCGGATTTTAGGCTGTGTAAGCTGGGCTACCGCACAGGGCCCCCAATTTTAGAGGGGCCCCAAATTTTAGAAGTCCAATATTTAATTTTTATCTAGTTAGTTTAGAAATAAAAATAAAAAATTTTCAATTGAATTTAAAAAGTTCCATGAAGAGATGGTAAGAATGTATTTTTATTGTATTTTAACTTTGAAGTCAAAGGTTCGAAACTTGCATGTATTGATTTTAAAAATTGCGATTTTAGTAGGGCCACATTTATTTACCAAAACAGGGCCACCAAAACTTAAAATACGGCCCTGGTCAAGTGATATGAAGTGACTCTTCTAAATGAGAGGTAATGGATCGTTCGAGCTTCAGTGGGGTCGGTATTGACTTGTTATATGTAACAAAGCCAGTACTCAGTAGTACTCAAAAAAAAAAAAAAAAAAAAAAAAAAAAAAAAAAAAAAAAAAAAGGAGGACAGAGTAAGAAACATAAAACATTGACAAAAGAGGCTAACATAGTAACATATTGTTCTAAGTTACGTTTTTTGCTTTATGTATTCAAGGCTATAAAGATGGATGTTCTTATGATGGAACAAGATATGAATTGTGAAATTTGCCAGTTGGGCCACATTTGACAAGTCTACGGCTGCCAATCTTTTGCTCACTTATTTGGGCCTAGCTACTATACTATGGGTTTGTGCTTTATGGTCATATCTTATTGGTCCGGGGTTCTTATTATTCCTCAGAATATAAGACAAATTTTAGGGGGAGGGGGGACACTCTATTTGTCACTCCCTTCATGTGAATAACACTTATGATGTCATTCAAATCGCCGGATATGTTGAAGAGCAGTTGGTGGATAATCAATCGCATATTGTGTAGATAAATTTACAAAGCAAATTCCAATACCATTATGTTCCCTATAGATGTGCCATAATTTGAGAATTCATTGACACTCCATTACTTGCTTCCAAACTTTCATAATATTCAACAAAGAGCCTTAAAGGTTTATCCCCTTGTTAGGCACTTAATAACTTATTCCAGGAAGATGTCAATACCCTTATCCAGTTATCTCAAGCAATACTACAAACTCTTAAGAGCAATCCAAATATTTACTTATTCTACGCTATATATCCTAATATTATAAGAACAACCTACAAGTTAAGTTTGTAAGATCTCTAATTATTTACTGTTGGATATCTCGTTGGTATAACTCAATAATAATCCTACAAAATAAGGATTATTATTTTATGTAGAAAAAGGGAAGGAAAGATGAAGAGATTGGCTCGTGTTTGTATAAGGTTTTTAGCAAGAGTCAAGCGATCACTCTTTCCTTAAAACCTTATTTGCTACCTCCCACAAGTGCTAGGAGGTCTAGGCTTCCCAGGATAAAACTTGCTACGATTCAATGTTTAAGCACCCAAACAAGGAATCTGGCGAACTAGAGCAAGATTATGAACACAGTTTGGCTTAAGAAAGAAGTAGAGACAGAGAGTTTTGAGGCTAAAAATAAACTTTCGTGTTGTCTGTAAATCTGCTACTGCCCAGCTCCTTCTTATATAGGGATTGAGGAGTGAATAGCTTTTATTATGACATTTAATAATGACATAAAGCCAAGCTTTGCAACAGCTAAAAACAGCCCAGCTCCTTCTTATATAGGGATTGAGGAGTGAATAGCCTTTATTATGACATTTAATAATGACATAAAGCCAAGCTTTGCAACAGCTCCTTCTTATATAGGGATTGAGGAGTGAATAGCCTTTATTATGACATTTAATAATGACATAAAGCCAAGCTTTGCAACAGCTAAAAACAGCAGGCCACTACCTGAAGATTAAATTCAGAATTGGAATTAAAGCAATATTAATTCCGTAACAGATGAATTTAATCTCCACAACAGTCAGAACTTAACTTTCGGCCTCGCCTTGATTTGCAACCCCGTGCGCGCGAGAGAGAGCCTTTATGCTATACAATTCAATAAGCCTTAAAAGAGATTTTGTATAAATAGTGGGGCAAATCCTCTTTTCAAACCAGTGTAGGACAAAAGCTCACTTTTTCCCTTCATTTTCCAACGCAAATGGGTCTACTTTGAGAATCAATATCTCATTCACCCATTATCCGTTTTGAGCGTACAATATATCAATATCTTTGTCTCACTACGAAGAACCCGGATCCACTTTGACCCGACTCATTTCGGAAGTGGACCCCACTGATAATTGTACCACAAAATAGCCATTAACATGCCATTTTATGTCATTTTAAGCTATTTTTTCAACATTTACAAAAAGACACTTATTTTTAAATTTATAATAATCTACCATATATAATTTTTAAATTTGCACTCTCAACAAAAAATAATGTTTAAATTTGCACAAACAAAAAGAAATGTTATCTTCATTTATTAATTAAAAAAAAAAAAAAACACACACACACACACACACCGAACCCAAAGACCCCACAAGCATTTTCCGAGAAGGTTACTTAAAGAAAATTTTCTAAACTTGCAATCACTTGGTCCACTTGCTACATCCACAGAAAATAGGGACACCTCCTTTCATGAATATTACCAAATAAATAAATGACTTCTGTATATAGTCTAAGGTTGAATAACACTAATACTATTTTGTCCAAAATTCTTAATTAATACTTTTAAGTGAAACTAAACACATAAACATGTCAATGTGCACTATTTTATTAATTAATAAAAATTCATATAAAAACTTGTGACTTACCGTTTAAAAGTTTATTAGTGCGTAGATAAGATTTAATCACTAGCTAAAAAAAAAAAGAAAGTAACTTTTAACTATTATTAGCAGCCATACTCTGAATCTCTTGTAGGATTAGAAGGAAAAAAACTATCCTCGTCGAATTAAATCTTAGGGAGGTTTATATGCGAAGTGAGAGTGTGATTAAGACCAACATTGACAGGTTGTCAAATTGTCAGCAATGCGCAGCATGCTGTTTATTGTATAGCGACTAAAAAAATAGACGCAGAATATTAGACTATTAGTCACCCAAGTTGTTGTGTGGAAACGTTCTAGAAGAGACAAGGAAGCATCCTGGAAAGCAGCTAAAAGAGTGTACATCCCCCTTGGACCAACTGGTTTAGTTCATACTAATAAAGTATTGCAATCTAATGATACTAAACATCCTTTTTTTTAATCCCATAAAAAGGAAATATGAACACGATCCTTTGACCTGTTTGCCACTCAGAAAATGTAAAAAAATGAAGGCATGACAGAGAGTAAAGGTCATTAGACTATGGATTCCGACGGGCCGCAGGCGATCCTTATCCAGGTTAAGGTCACGGAGTGCGTCATCGCGCTAAAGACAAAATGACGCCACTTTGTCGTCACCTGTTCAAAACCTCAATGTTTTTGTTTTTATTTTTAATATATATATATTATATATTATTAGCTACACTAATAATAGTTGAAACATGATTTGATCCAAAAATAGTTGTTAAAAAGGCACCTTTTTATACTTGAATAATGTATATGTATAATGTATAATATTCAAATCAAGCTAACTCATAAGTCTATGTCATGCTTTCATGCTTAATTAAATTCACATAGTGATGAGTTATACATTACCTACCCAATCCATCAAGTAGCATGACTTGTATCTTTGGGTAGGCCTAGTTGACAGACAAGAATTGGTTTTTAAATTTTTGTGGCCATCTTCTTATAAATAAATAAGGCCCTACCAAAAGTATAAGCACAATCATTAAAATCAATACAGTAAAATATATGATTTTTATTTCAAATAAGTATAAATGGTGTAACACCAGTTGAATACAAAAATCACAGTTCCTAATTCAATTCACGTCAAATTTAAATTAAGTAGCTATGTCAAAAATAAAAATTGGGCCTTCTAAAAATTAAGGTCATGTACTGTTGCCTATGTTGCACGCCCTAAAATCTGGCCATGTTGACAGAAGATAGATGATATTGTGTGTGACAGAAGGAAAAACACGGCTCGAGGTTAGACACAACTTAACTGATCGCTCAACTTGATGAATCAATTAGGTCGAGACGTGTAAAAGCATGACGGTAAACTGTCTTAACATAAGACTGACCTTATGTATAGTATGTATAAATAATTATGATCACCTCGCTCAAAAAGAATATCTTGTATTCACTTCACTATATACATTTCACTTAACTATTATACTCAATTGTCCAGGAGACTCATTTGTGTGTGTGTGTGTATATATATATATATATATATATATATATATATAAAGCATCAACGGCAGAATGACAGATCAGTGACACGGAGTTTAATGTATTATATGTTTTAAAGTAGGTTCACGAGGTGGTACTTGGAAGGTTAAGTGCAGAAATAATAATAATAAAATAACCCCCAAAAAGGTGACTCCAGCCGACGTGTCCGTCTAAAAGGACAAGAATACAACAGCCGAGTTGGGGTGACAGGATCGTCGACCAAAACAACAGGTTTGTTCCTGGGATAAAATCATAAAATGATAACACCATACGTCCATACAGCTGTAATAGTATTCATTCAAAATTAAGTGCAACGTAACCCGGATACAGCTGTAGTGTTCTTACTTTTCGTAAGGGCACGTGAAGCCATTAGCCATATATTGCCTCAACAAAGTTCAATTAAGACGTCAAATTAGAGTGAAAATGATGGATCGATCGATGGTGAGATTTTTCATGTTGTTGTGTCAAACACAAATTTGACCTCGTAGAGCCAATCATGTATTGCCGCGTCAATCAATATGCAAAATTCTTGCTAATCCATGTCCTACAATTATATTATTCTTCCAAAAAGGTTGAACCCCAACCCCGGTGGGAGCCCCCCTCACTTTGAGAGGTTGCTCCCACACTGCCGCTGGTGAGACTCGATCCCTGGTCATTCTTCCAACTAGTTGAGCTACCCATGCGGGGCCCAAGGGTTTCCCCCGGCCCGACAGAGCGGTGGGAGGCGATCCCTGGTCATTCTTCCAACTAGTTGAGCTACCCATGCGGGGCCCAAGGGTTTCCCCCGGCCCGACAGAGCGGTGGGAGGTTGTAAACCATGGTGATCCCGGCTCGACAGAGCGGTAGGAGCCCCCCTCACTTTGAGAGGTTGCTCCTACACTGCCGCTGGTGAGACTTGATCCCTGGTCATTCTTCCAAAGTTTCACCTCTATGACCAGTTGACCTACCCATGCGGGCCTACAATTATATTATTTATTGTATCCTTGGTGTTATATTTAAAGTTTTAGGTCAAGTATTTTTAAATAAAAGTCAAATTTTATTGTAATTATGATTTAAATTTTGATTAGTGAGTAATGATAGATTGAATACTGGTGGTCTAGCAGTTTTCCACAACCCATTTCAGTCTATAATTATAGGACACACTTACCTATTTTTAGAAGGGATAACTTGAACAATTTATTTCTGCGTTTAGGAGATTGTTTTCTTATTTTTATAGACAACCCATTTGTAATTAAAGTTCATGATTTGAGGGATTTATTTATTTTTTTCTAATATAGATTGAGTACTAAAATTTAGTTTAAGTGGTATAAAATACTTTTAAAAAGTATTAGTATGTTTGAATCTCTTTTTACAAAATAAATAAATAAATAAACACTTTTCTACGATTGCTTTATTTTTTTTTACTTGAGTAATTGTATTGTTCACCGATCCATTGTGCACTGTGTTAACCAGTCATAAGCTATGCAGTTGTAAAATCAACAGGTAAAAAATATCTATCCGGATTAATATGTGAATATATCCAATATCTCTCTTGTGTCTCTTAAAGCGAACTGGGTGAACTTGGACCGTTAAACGAACACCCGGACCACGTGTGGAAAAAATAATAATAATTCTCTATGCAAAAAGTCACTTAGTTAGCATTTGTATTTGCGTTTAGGTGTTGACATGGGCGCAAAAATATTGGTGGAGTCAAAAGCTGAATTTTGGGCATGGAGTCCGTCCAAAAGTGGTGACGGGAGCAGTGACAACAGCAGCAGCACACGTGGGGTACCAGCAATCACACGTGGCTCGCGGAGATAAGACCGTCGGCACTGCTCCTCCGTTCTGGTCTTCCTTCAATGGCTGCGGTCAACCTTGCTCTCCAAGCAAAACAGCCCCCCTAGCTCACAAAATGACCAACCCATTGGGTCCCACACCGCAAACATCTCTCCTCAGTTAATACTTAGACCTACGTGGCAACGTCCTCCTTCATTTCACCACGTGCAATATACGCCCTTCACTCATATATATACGCCTTCCTACCGCAAAGTCCTGCGTTCATACAAATTTGTAAGCTAAGCTTTAGAAAGAAGCAAGAAAAAGAAGTGAAAGAAAGAAAGGGCAGCAAAGAGAAGAAAAGAGTAAAGAGGAGATCGAGATTGAAGAAAAAGATATGAAGAATAATGGTGGAATTTTGAACAACAATGAACAGCAGCAGCAATTGGAGATGCCGCCGGGATTCCGGTTCCATCCGACGGATGAGGAACTCGTGGTTCACTATCTCTGCCGGAAATGCGCCTCCCAATCTATCTCCGTTCCGATTATTGCCGAGATCGATCTTTACAAGTTTGACCCCTGGCAGCTCCCTGGTACGTACGCTAGTGTTGAGTACTTCTGCTTTTTAATTTTAATTTGTTTTGGGATCGGATTTTTAATTTTGTATTGATTTCTCGATGCAGATATGGCTTTGTACGGAGAAAAAGAATGGTACTTCTTTTCTCCGAGGGACCGAAAGTACCCCAACGGTTCGAGGCCGAACAGGTCTGCCGGAACCGGGTACTGGAAGGCCACCGGAGCAGATAAGCCGGTGGGAAAGCCCAGGACTTTGGGGATAAAGAAGGCTTTGGTATTCTACGCCGGGAAGGCTCCTAAAGGTGTAAAGACTAATTGGATTATGCATGAGTACCGTCTCGCAAACGTCGACCGCTCCGCCGGAAAAAAGAACAATTTGAGGGTATGTATTATTTACTCTTTACTCTATTTTTATTTTTTAGCACTAAAGTAAAAGTAAATAATCACTTCACTGTGAAATTGGACCTTTGAATCTGAATTGAAAGTGTTCTGATTGCGCGTTAATGTTACAGCTTGACGATTGGGTACTATGTCGGATATACAACAAGAAAGGCAGTGTGGAGAAGTACTATAATGTCGACCAAAACGATGTCGTTCTCCCGAAATTGGAAGACCAGAAGCCTAACATCACCCAATTCTCACAAAGCGCCACGATGCTAACGCAAGCCGCCCTACCGCCGGTGGTGCAAAATCAGCACGACTACGTGCACTTCGACACGTCGGAGTCGGTGCTGAGGTGGCACACCGACTCCAGCTGCTGCTCCGAGCAAGTGCTGTCCTCCCCGGAGTTCGCCGCCGACAAAGAGGTCCAGAGCGCGCCAAAATGGGACGACCTGAATTTCCAGCTCAACAATTTCATAGACGATCCCTTTCAAATGCCGCAGTACAATGATCCCTTCCAACAAGATATGTTCATGTACATGCAGAAACCTTTTTAACCTTGTTTATAGATTAGGAATTCATTAGCCGACATTCTTAATCATCTTAGTGTACAACAATGAAAAATTAAAAGTCACGTTTGGTGGAGGGTAGATGGCAGCTAATATTGGGAGATGGCTATTCTTTTAGGTTAGGTGGAGATTTTATTAGGTCTCTTTGCAGCTTACTATATGTTAATATGTTGTTCATTTTTTCAGGAAATGAAAAACAAATTTTATTACTCTCGTGTTTCTTCAAACACACAACAATTGAATTGAACAAACGACATTTAAAACTTTATAGAATTTTTTTTTTTTTTTTTTTTTTGGGGTGATGCTCACCTAACATGACAAACAAAGGTCAAAGGATAGCGTTCTTATCCATCCATCTGTCATGTCAAGTATGACAAACAACAGTATTCCTTGAGAAAAACGTGAAGGGTGTGAAAGAAATCAAAGAATGCTTTAACACGCACCCTTCTAAATGCCACTTGGAGAACTTTGGGCCATATAATAGGCTGGACATGAATTGGAATTACAACTGACATTGGGGATATTGAGTTTATGTATATCTTTTGCTTCTGTTATGCAAGTAATGGTTATTTGCTTAGGGATTCAATGAATGTGTATAATCCCATTTGCCTTTCTTAGTTTGGAGTATACATTTGCAGCTGTTTCACCACATTCCCACAATAACACATCACCCAGCAAAACTATCACTTGAACCACAAAATTTTCCTTAAACAAATGGCAGTATACTATATAACTTGCATCTTACATGTAAATTTATCTGTTCTCCTTTATACGTCAACGACGATGGAAAAATATTCTACCCAACATTTCATGTACAAATGAACTGCTGCTTAACTGAAACATACATAAATATTGTACCTTGGAAATTTTGAATCCTGATGTTCCTTATGGTTGCTGATGTCCATGGGATATGCTGCTCTTACTTGAATTCAGTTGGTCTTGACCAACTTTTCGTTCAGGGTTTCAGATTCCTTTACCACAAAGAGAACCATACACAGTGAATTCCTAACAGCTGCTGCTCACATCTGTCTTAACAGAGCTCACGTGGTCTCTAGGAGTCGATCAGGAAATCTTCTAAGTTTGAAAGGGTTTTCAACTGCCTACCAATTGAAGCAATTGTCTTTTTGCACTCCTCAAATTTACTAGCAGCCACTGCCAGTTCTTTGTCCTGCCAAACACATCAAGAAACATAGTGAATATCAGTTAGCAAGTTCATTGCTACTGAGGGAAAAAAGAACCCATAGCATTGTGAATACGTTAGAATCTGAGAAGTGTAATCTTTTGAGAAGGCTGATTGAGTGTTTAAACACACAATCACCAACAACGAGCCATATCTAGAAGTAACAATTTTGAAATATAGTTACCTTTGGCAAACATCTTTGAGTGAAAGGATCCAACACAGGAAGCTATGACAACATGCATGCCCTTTAGATATAACATTTAAGTGAAGTGTATACTTTTAACATCAAAAGAACACAAAGAACCCCAAGGCAAGAAGGCAGAACTTTAGATTACTGTCAGTATTTTCTGTTTTGTTTTTTCTTGGTTAATGCATAAACATTCTGAAATCAGTTTGCATCTTTCTTTTCTATCTTATTTTATTTTTTTAAAACCAAACTCTAGCATGATTGCAGAATGGATTGAACTATAAACTGTTTCGCAACTAACCTTATTGAATTGAAATTCTCCAATGGTTGCTGCTTTCTGAAGCTGGCATTGGGATGTTAGTCTTAAATTTAAACTTTCTAATTTCCTCAACTTTAGAATAGATTCATGTGAAAAAGCCTGTTCTTTTTTCACCTCTTCTTCAAGTGAATAAACTCTTGAATGCAAAGCTTGCAGTTGAAATTCTGCAGCTTTGAGTTGAGACTCTGTTTCCTCTTTCTTATGATTGCTATCCTCTAGTTCAGACTCAATGGTGCACCTTATTTCATTTGCCCTTTCCAACTGAGTCTGAAGCTCTAACAAGTTGGCCTCTGCTTGTTCTAAGCGCTCTATTGATTTCTTAAGCTTTGAATTGGAAACCTCAAGCTCTTGCTGAGCAGCTATCCGTGCCTCTCTTTCAGTTGAGAAATGAGCATCAAGGTCTGCCAAACTGACCTGTGCTTCCTCTAACCACACTTCTGATTTCTGAAGTTTAAGATTGGTATCCTTAAGTTCTGCCAAAAGTGTTTTCCTTGCTTCGTGTGCCATATCTAACTTAGATTGAAGCTTAAGATTGGTATCCTTAAGTTCTGCCTCAAGTGTTTTCCTTGCTTCGTGTGCCATATCTAACTTAGATTGAAGCTTAAGATTGGTATCCTTATGTTCTGCCTCAACTGTTTTCCTTGCTTCATGTGCCATATCTAACTTAGTTTGAAGCTCTGCCACATTCATTTCTGTTTTCTCTAAATGCTCTATTAATTTCTTAAGCTTTGCAGAAGTAGTCTGAAATTCTACCTCAGCTGCAGTTCTAGCTTCAATTGCCAAAGCTAACTCAGATTTCAGCTCAATCAACTTCACCTCTGTTTCTTTTAATTGACCTTTGGACATTTTAAGCTGGAATTGGCACTGGGTTAATGCCATCTCCAACTTCATTTTCTCAGAATCCATATTCTCCAACTTCTCCTCCAGTTCAGCTGTCCGATTAATCATGGCTTCAAGTTCAACTTTTAAAGAAAGTTCCCCAGAACAAGCTCCTCTTTCAAGGGGGCTTTCACTGTCTGACTCGGGCAATGCTGCAAGCCTCTCCATCTCAAGAAAATCATCCATGAGATTCATGTCTGATGAAGGTTTCATAATGTTTCTTTTGAGTGGCTTTTCAAATGCAAATTGGTCCAGTTCTGATATCAAAGCGGAAGCCCATAGGTCAGACCGACTAGATCCGTACTCATTCTGCTCCAAAGTATTCATTTTGCGACTATCGTTTTCAATTCCAGACAGTCTCTCTCCACTATCTGATTGGCTATCTGTAAAAGATTCAACATAAGCTGATGATGCAGCAACAGACTTTTGATCATTAGCTGAAGCTGCTTTGTGAGCAAGAGCCTTGAGCCTGCGACACTCTCCTTCAAGCCTGGCCACCTTTCTTATGCTCTCCAGATGTTGCTTACTAGCTGTTTCAGCAGCAACTGTGCTCAAATCTCTCTCAGAGGTCCTCAGTGTGAGATCCTCCGCTGTAGAAAAGAGCTCAAGCTTCAACACTGAGTTCTCTTCCTTCATAGATTCAAGCTGCGCACGAAGATCTGGGATCACGAGTGCTTCAACTTTAGCACTTTCAAGTTCAGACCGGAGCTCAGCAAGCTGTTTCTCAAGTTCAGACTTTGAAGACTCCCACTGAGAACTTGTCTTGGATATAGCTTCAAGAATCTTTTGTTCCTGGTCTTCCCTCACGAGTCGAAGCTGTCTCAAACACTCTTTAAGTGCTCCATCAAGGTGACCGGTGCGTTCTTCAAGGACCAAGTTCTTTTGGGCAGTAGCATCAACTTGTTTCTTCAGGACTAATACCTCAGCTTCAGCCTTTTCCCAACCTAACATGGGAGATGGAAACAATTATCAGGCACTGTGAGAGGACAATCACAATCTGAACTGCAGTGAAAGCTGTTGAATTTGGAAGATGGAATGGCCTGGCGGGTGGAGAATAACATCACCCGCCAGTTAGGCGGAAACAATGATGAAGAATCAAGTAATAGAAAATGTATATAAGACTGAAATATATTAGTATTATCTGTGTTTCTAACAAAGAAACATAGTACATATATATATATATATATATATATATATATATATATATATATATATATATATATATATATATATTCAAACAAATAACTGTGAGTAACTACCCATAACTAAAATCTATTCGTAAACAGACACAACCCTATAGATAAACCTAACTCTTTATTCTTCGGGGCTAATACCTCAGCTTCAGCCTTTTCCCAACCTAACATTGGAGATTGAAACAATTATCAGGCACTGTTAGAGGACAATCACAATCTGAACTGCAGTGAAAGCCAACTTCAAGATCTTCAATATATTCAGGATTAAATAAATTTTGCAATGACAGATATAAGTTTTCTTAGGAGTTAATCCCTTGCAGAAACAGATTATTAACTAAACTCAGTACAAGCACAACAAAGAGCATGGGAAAGAAGGAATTAGCTTGCAGACTTTAAAACAGAGAGGAAAAGGCTCCCAAAGGAACAAAAGTAGTGCTTGACAGTATCACTGTGAATAACAAAGTACCTATCATATGTTTATTCTCTTATCTAAATCTTCCTTTATGAAGAATTACAAACTTATGGAACTCAAAGATTACATAGACCTCACTAGGAACAACCATAATATCCAACAATGCAATAATAAGTAAATGGAGGCTACACTTAAGGAAAGCAGTTGATATCTCTTTCCTAATCTTTGTTTCACTCTCTAAAGAAAGTTCTTGACAAGAAAGTAGTGAACAGTCAATCCTACAAAGGACTTTTAAAAAATTAATTGGAGGGATAAAATCACCTTCTAACTTGTATTGGTAAAAGAAGAAAAGACAACTAATTTCTGAAGTAAAATTCACATAAAAAGAGAAAGATGAGCTACCTGTGACAGCTTCCTCTGCAACTTTTGCATGCTGCTTTACCAAGTCTTCTTTAGCACGAATATTAAGCAGAGCTTCTGACAGTTTAGCTGATAGTGCCTTCACACTGACACTGTCATTAAGTTCTTCATCATTGGATGCAGCTTTAGATGTGACTTCCGGTGATTGAATACTGTGATTTGGAATTGCCTTTAACAGAAAACAAGATCCATCAGCATGCATAAATTGAAGACTTGAATAAGTATTTTGGAAATTAAAAAAAAAAAAAAAAAAAAAAAACTTTGAGGATGCCAATAAAAAGGAAAATGAAAAGCCAGAATAAAATACAAAAGTATAGTATGCATGAGCTAATCAAAGTTTAATCACGATTCCAGTATCTTGACCAACTAAGAAATATCATGGACAAATTGAGTTCAAAGTTAACAACTATTCACTTTTCAGCATATGCTGAAAAGCTAGCAAGCATGACACTACATGATAACCAGTTTTATTAGTCTGGTTTGCCTAGAGCTATAACTACCACTTACAGCTGAAATATTTATTAGTTTTCGGCAGTGTCAAGGCTTAGTCTCTCATCTAGCTGATTCTCCGTGAATATTTAAACAAGTTATAGCTGAGACTTTTATATTCAGACTCCAAATAAGATTTTCTTTGTATATTTGAAGCTGCAATCCAGGAAACAGTGAGCACCTTAAAATCACGATAATGTGAAGGTACAGTTAATAGAATCTCATGTCTGTCTGTCACATATATCTTCAATAGAAACGAGCAATCAAACCTATTGCTCATATTTGGGGCTCTTTGTTTGAGTTATTATTACCAATTAACCCGTACTAAAGATTAATATGAAACTGTAGATTATACATTTTTCCACTCTATTCTAAAACAGAGATTTATTTCCACCTAAACTATTTTGTGTATGGCCATCAAGTTCCTGACTTCCGGCATTATGCATGTGTCTGTTCTCTTTATAATTTTTAGTCCAAGTATTACAAAGTACACAAATCCGAGGGAATCTACAAATTTTTTGGACAAGCAGAGCAAGAACAGTATGAGAATTGTACTATGTATGAAGTAAAGTGGCAAGCATTTTCCCATTTCCTTGAAACATTGAACCTGGATAAGTTGTTAACAAGAAGACAAGAGAAAGCATTCTCTGTGAAATTATTAACAAGCACACATGCATCTATGTAGAGAGAGAGAGAGAGAGAGAGAGAGAGAGAGAGAGAGAGAGAGAGAGAGAGAGAGAGATGCTGCTGATTATAATACTATAAAAGTTAATGGCAACTAAGAATAATCAGGATTTATAAAAAGGAATGATATTATTTAATTAGCAAAAGGCAAAGGAGATTAAGGAATGGTATCATTATGAAGGAAAATGAATCAACCTACCTGATCATCAGAGAATCTCTCGGAATGCGATGAAATCGAACCAGAGCTTTCGGTTTCACCACTGGGACTCTTATCAGACGATTTCCTCCGCCACAGCCAGCTCCTCCGGTCCATCTCCGGGACTAGCTAACTATCCTTCTTTGGCACTCAGGCACTCACTTCATATTCAACATTTTCTGTTTTCAAAGTACACCACTCACCCCTGAAATTACAATGATATTTGATTCAGATCCAAATGAGGATCCATGGACATAGACCAAGACCAACACACTTAACTGAAATCTCCCTTCTCTATCATGGAATTGGAATGAACATTGAAAAAGAAAAGGGCAGACACCACATGACTTGATTCAGAAGTCTGATGAAAGTAAAAGCAAAAAAGGCAGAATCTTTAAAAGTAGTTAGTGACTATTGAACTCAAGCTGGAGTACGGAGAAGTTCACATTTTGGGGTGAGGAAATGTGTGTCCGAGGACGACGGGGATAAGGATTTCTGGTAATTCCAGAATCCCTAGTTTGCTTAGAAAGTAAAGCTGAATCCATCAAATCACCTAACAACCTACACCTCAAAGACGGAACCTTAGCAAAACCTCAAAAGAAGCAATTCCGAAACATACAAGATAAAGGGCATTTTGGACACCAAACACACAGTGGTCACACCTACACATGCTTTCCACTCAAGATTATTGGCTTTGAACAACTCATCTGATGGCTACCTCTCAATCCCCAAGTTTCAGTTGGGATATTTTTTTCCAGAACAGAAAATTTAAGAGCTTATTAAAATGACAGAAGAGTGTGCGAGAAATTAATGAATTGGGATAAGTACGCCTTGTGTCTAAATTCCAAGAAATCATCAAATGAGGATGATCGATGATGACCCACCACTGGATATCTGGGCAAAAACCAGAGACCCACAACACCCCAAAAGCAGATCGCAAAAAGGCTTCTGCCTTCCCCATCCAGATGGAAATCCACTTCCGATTGTTAGATATAAATAATACATATAATTATATCCACAGTTTATGTATACCCCATGCATGCGGACGCACTCACGCTGGAAAAAAGGCGATTTTTTGTTACCTTAGATTGAGAGAGCCCCAACTCTTCAGCTTCAATGAGATGAAATCTCTATCTGCAGCAACCAATAGAGAAATCAGAAGAAGAACAATGATAATTCTATACCAGAAGCTCAATATTTGATAATAAAAAATTAAAAATGGAGAATCTATTTCCGGTAATTGATAATTACCCAGACTTGATAGTAGTAGTAATGCTTGGGTGCTAATGTAATCCTTTTTAGAAACTGAGTCATATGGCCCAGAGAAAGCAATTGGAAGAATAGTGTTGTACACGTTGGGAGCATTGGTCTGAATACATTTGTTTTTGTCAATATTATAATGACGTTCCAATATTTTTCTATGACGCAAATGATCCAAGTACAGGAACAATCTATCACTTATCTTCATGTTTTGGGCTGATGAAATAATTTTTTCTAAAAAAAAAAAAAGAATTAGTTTTACCTAAAATAAAACACAGAGAAAGTTACATGATATGTTATTATGGAGTAAAAGCTATTTTTAACCTGATGTGACATTTATTATAATTTAAAATTAAAGTTGTTTACTTGTTCTTTTTACGGATGTTTTTTTTTTTTTTCTTAAAAATTTTTAACAATTTTTTTAGATTTAAGGATTAAATGAAACATAGCCACTTCTACCATCAAACCACAAAATCATTAAATGGAAGATGTAATTTTTGTTATAGTTAAAATTAGATATTTATGCATTGTCTGATTGTATTGCAAGATTTGTGGTGATAATTAAATGTCTAATCAAGAAATTATTGGGTGACAACGAAGAAAATCAGGAAATTGTGGCAAACGGTGAAGGCGGAGGGATGGAAAGAGGACAGAAGAATTTTGAGACCAAAATTGATTGTTTTGTCATTTATGGAGCGTTTAGCTTTATTTTTAATTCAACAGATTTGCGTTATTCCCGCGCCGGGCAATGGCAGCCTATTCCTATTATTAGGTTTCTTTCCCGTGAAGCCATACAATAATTCAACGGAATGTGGGAGCCACGACAACAAGCTTCCACCTCATTTTTTCCGCTTCATTTTCCGTCCCTGTCGGATTCTCACTCAAGAAAAAGAGAATTTATGAATAATAATTTTAGAAATTTAGATGTAAAGGCAAAGGAAAGAAAATTTTCAAAAAATTTCAAAACCAGAAAAGCCTTATTTTCTAAGTTACCCATTGGACCAAGCAAGTATTAATAGAAATGGAAGTTTTTTTTGGTCCATTATTGAAAGGATGTGTACTCAGTCAATCCCGCTCTTTCATTAGAATTAATCCTTTTCATTTCAAATAATGTGCAAAAGAAATGAAATGTTGAACATGGATATACACACATTATATTGCAGTTCCAACTGAGTGAGTTTAATTTTATGTACACAACCTGGAAATTTACAGATCTCTTCCCATATCCTTGGGGATTTCCCAGGAAATTAAAAAGAAAATGGTAGTAAAAGAGGTATACAATCATGATATTTATACGAAAAAATAAATACCTGCACTAGCTCAATGAAAGAAGATGATTGAACGTTTCACCTGGAATCAGGCTGAATGAGCATCATGTGTTCTTGAAGCCCAGATACCAAAAACAAGAAACCAGAAGACAAAGAGGATTGCCCAGTAGCGTGCAGGCCCATACCTGATTCTTGTCAACACAAACTGCATTTTAGGGGGGTAGTTAGTCCAGCCATTCCATTTACCAAATCTCTTATTAAATTTAAATTAAAGGTGGAATACACATGCACAACACCATGATCTAGCTTTTGTAAATAAAAAAGAAACCAAAAAAGTAGATTTGAAATAGACAACCATACAAGATAAAAACAAATTGATACAGATGCAAGGCAGCTAAGAACAGGAAACTTACAAAGCGGAAGAAGACTACCACTGTTAAAGCACAAACACCTCCAAGGAGAATATGCAGACCAGTTTTTGCAGTTTTCTACGTACAGATAGAAAGAATCATCAGTGCATTTACAAGGAGAAGGAGTTGTCACAACAACTAGTTGCTTCACTTCAGTTTGAAGATGGATCAAGAATTAAGAGGTCCACCATGGATAATGCAGAACCAAGTCCACAAAGATATGCAGATTTAAACTTCAGAAAACACCATGGTAAATTAAGATGTCCGATTACATCCAATAAAGTAACTGGTGACACAGGCAATTGTTCCATCATCATTACAAGTTTTGAGATGCATCTTCAATTATGAATATGTGCAGAACAGGAAAATTTTAAAATATATGATAAGAAAACTGCATGAAAACAAACCAGTAACCAGAAAAATGATTAAACAAGATTCAAAAATGAAGCCACATAAAAAAAATAATAAATATATAAAAATCAATACAGTAACTAATAAGAGAAAAGCTACTTTTGACTACCTTTCCAACACGAGGAGCAATGAGCCAAGCAAGAGTAACAGTAAGCAGCCCTGTGGCAAGAAGTACCCCAGTACCTTCTAAAGCCCAATTGGTTGCAGTGTTTTCAGCTGGGAAAACTTCCTCTGCAACAATAGAAGGTTGCTCACTAACAACCTGTGAAGGAGCAGTGGTGTTGTTATGGGGATTGAACCACAATGAAATTTCACTCAATCTTTGCCTTTGAATAGTTGCAACAGCATCAGGATCCACACTGGAGTATTCTGGCAACTGTGAAGGAATATGTTCTCCATTTGCAGTCCTTTCCCTTAACAAACTATACTCTTTCAAAGAGCTTATAACTTTCTTGATGTCCGAAATTCTGATGTGTTTTGCTATGCATCCACATATCTCGCAGGTGGTGGATCCATGGTTGACAAACCACTTCAGTGCACATGCATAGTGTACAAGGGCAAGATCATTTTTACAGGCACATCCAAGTTCAATCAATGTGTCCTGGTTATGATCAGAACCCATTTCAACATCAGCATTACAGACAAAAACTTCCCCTCTTGGACTAACAAATTCAACAAGTTTAGATCCTTTCAGATCAGTTGAAGCACAGTAATCACCATCTTTCTCTTCGCTGTGATTGGTCCTAATCTCCCAATTTCGAACCTGTGCATCACCTGATGGAGGGATGATACCTAGAAATCCCAGTGAAGTATCTCCTCTTTTGTCAGATTCAGCACATTGGCACACTCGACAAGTTGCAACACTGTCATCATCACTTTGATCTGAAATGGAATCACTTCTCCTTGATTCCTCATCAGTCATAGGTGCAATGCTTTCCCTAATGAAATCAACACTTTGAGGTAAATTTCCTCGATCCATCAATATTAGAAGTTGAGCATTAAAAATTTTTATTGGCCATCTGATTGATACTTACGGCAGCATTGGAGCAGTTAGGTGTACATTGCTGATTTGAGCAGACATTTCTGTTAGATGATGAAATGATCTTCTAATGGAACAGGTGAATTAAAGGATAAGAGAACACAGGTCCTTCACTTTTAAATAGCCGCATGAAGGCCACAAATTCTAAGTGCATCTCTGCTCGAATCTTTTAAGGCTATGCCAATAGTTTTTTTGGACTGTAAAGAGATCCCCCATTGTACTGTTGTGGAAGAAACAGAAGACCTGAAGTCAGAACTTAAGAAATTTAGTAGGAAAAAAAAAAAAAAAAAAAAAAACAGATCTTTAAATCCAGAATGGATCATATAGAAATCATATAAGCATTTTTTTTTTATAAAAACTAGAAAGTAATCATATAAACTAACAACACAAATCTTTCTACAGACTTGAAAACAACAATAACTATTAACATATGATAAATAAAAAGAAAATGTCTAGCAGGGAAGATAATCACATAACTAGGGATGAAACAGTTGTCATGTGTTAGCCTCCAATTCCAAGTTCCAAGTTTTCTTTTCACGTATATTATAAAATTATGAACCCTTTGGGCTTTATTTCCAGTTCTGTTACAAAGATAAATGTTACAGCTAATCTTCCATTGTATGCCTTTTGAATTTTGTTTTTATCCTGGTTTAAGCAGAATAATTTGCTATTCTACTTCATTTCTGCTGGGTTGAAACTTTTCAGGTGCTTTGCTAATAGAAATAATATATGTCATAACTTACTAACTTAGAGGCAAAGAGAAAAATGATAAGTAGTCACAAATGTTGTAGCACAGCAGAAATCCTTGTGCCCTTTGCGTTCTGATTAGACTTCAATCTTAAGAAACATTTTCAAAAAAAAAAAAAATCAAATTTCAAATGCTGCAGAATGGTTGTACTGAACTACTGATACATGCATCCCTGCCAACTAAAGGCCAGCAAAAATATATCTCCTTCGCCACTTTGCTCTTTTAGAGATTGAAACAGAGTGAGAGAGAGGAATAGATCTCAAGGAATTAAGACTCATCTAGCCATATTACAAGCCTGATACTAAGTATACTATCTTAACATTAGAAGATTTTAGTAACTAGACAATGTAGGATAAACATAATTAGGGACCTTCCTACTCTATAATAAGGTAATCTTTCAATCTATAATAAGTGTCTATATTTTTAGAGTCATCTTAGGAAACATTCTCTATTCAGCCACACAATCAAATATTGAATATTTATTGTATTGCCCATTTCATTCCTAGTTTACCTCTTTGTACATGTCCAAACCATCTGAATCCATATCCATATTTTATATTATAACAGCCTCCCTATTTGGGATTTGAATTCCATTCTTTCTTGTTTTAGCAAATATCTATTTCAGTGTTCTCATTAATTTTTGGAATTAACATAGTAACAGTCTTAACAGAGGAACTATTTTCCATCATCTTTTTTGCTAGCTATGCTCCCTCTATCATCATTTCCATTTTCCAGAACAACTTCCAGTCCTATTAAAGCTCACCTAGTTACCTCTTCACCTTCTATTCTCTTTTTCTCATTCATTCATTCTATTTCAGCCAAATTGCCTTCCAATTTTCAAAAGAAAGTTACTAGCCATTTCATTTCATTTCATCATCTAAATGAAATTAGACAACCAGGAACTACTCAGACATGTTTCTTCCTCTTACCTAATCACTAAATCCCTAGGCCCTTAATTGCTATCAACAACTCGTAGTGGAGTGGTTAGCGAAACAACAGAATAAACTAAAAAATGCAGAAACTTACAGCAAGTAAAAGCACATTCAATCACCATTTCAATGCCTGGGCCTGGCTATCCATCTCCGCATAAGTTAAAGTTTTTACTCAAAAATAAAAACGGAAAGCAGCTGTTAAAAGAAAGAGACAAACCTCTAGTGGCGTACCGTACTTGTGTGAATCGGGGGAGAGAAGAGAAGAGAATGAGGACAGATACGAAGCCATTAAACACAAGTAAAGGACTCTAATGCTCTAAAGCTACGTGGTTGCCTGCTGGGCCAACCAAAGCCCAACAGTAACTAACAACAATCGTTATGCAGTGGAATCGTGTCCAAATTGACACTCCAAGGTGGACACAGTTCTGTTCCAATCATTATTATGTGGACCCTAGTCCATACAAGTTGTGTGGACCATATTTTGTATACTATAAAATAATATACATTCAGTATAAAAATAATGTACATTTAGCACAAAAATAATGTACACTGTATTCAGGGAATGTACATTATTTTTGTACTGAGTGTATATTATATTGTACAATGTACATTTAGTATATTAAAAATATATTTTATGTTATGGTCCACATAACATTGTGTAGACCATGATCCACACAATAATTTGCCGTTCTATTCATAATTATAAAAAAATATATTCATAATTTTAACTTTCATAATTGATGAATTATATATTCATAATTATAAAGTCTTCATATTCACAATTATTGAATCTCTATATTTATATTCACAATTATTGAATTTTTATATTTATAATTACAGAACTATATGTTCATAATTATGTTCAAACTCTTTATAATTATTTTGAAATATATTCAAAATTATGAACAGTTTTGAAACCGTGTCCACATTATGTTGGTGGACACGATTCTACCAACATAATTTGCCTAACTAACAATATACACTTACAAGTTGGGACTATTCGGGTATGTGGGACTATTCGGGTATGGACCCGTTATCCGAACCGAACCAAACTATCAGTGAAAACTCAATTCAATTTAAAAGTTGAAACTCAATTCAATTTAAAAACTGAAGTTTGAATTTTGATTTGTATTGTATTATAATAAGCTTGGTGTAAAATATTATATGTACGTATATGGCTACAAGCACAACAGTATGGTATGGTACATAATCAAAAACTATGCATCATTCTATATTCATCTCATTAAATATGGGGAAAGTTTTAAGAGAAAAACCAACAAAAAAAAAAAAAAACAAAAAAAAAAAATGTAAAAGGGGGAGTAGGCCAATTAAAACTTTTACTATTGCCAATGACCTACAGAATCAATATGTTCTTGTTTTTGAAAGGTAATGTGTTCTTGTTTTTGAAAGGTAATGCGTTCTTGTTTTTGAAAGGTAATGTGTTCTTGTTGAGTGAATTGTGCCTGAATGGTGTTCTGATGGGTAGGGAAAGGCAAATTAAGGAAAGGTTGAAGATGATGATCCGATGAGGACACGTAGGGGGGATGGTGGGAGAGGAGGCCGGCAGGCGAGTTATTAGAAGATGTATATACATTACTACTGCAGGCGTTATAAACCGCGGCCAGATTTAGCGAATTCTGGTGATCAACGACGACGTTCTGTTGTTGTTGGTGGTGCTGCTGTTGCTGTTGTTGTTTGGGGACATTAAGCTTCTCTCCTTCCAGCTCCCTATACTTGTTGAGGTAGAGTTTGAGGGGATTGACGTAGTCCTCAAAGCCAAGTGTGGTGATGGCCCAGAGGATATCATCACCGTTGATAGTCTTTCGCTTCTCGCGCTGGCACTTGTCAGAGGCTTCGCCGGTGACGAAACTGATGAACTCCGACACGCATTCCTGAACGGTCTCCTTAGCGTCTTTGGAGATTTTGCCGTTGCCGGGGATGGCCTTTTTCATGATCCGTCCAACGTTGGCGATGGGGAGAAACCTATCTTGTTCCTTGTTGTTGTTATTATTGTTTTTGGAACATGTGCTACTTTCGGGACTCGCTCTAAGGCCCACATTTGGGGCGTTTCCATGCCTTTCGTCATCTTCCATAGATGATAGATGAATCGAGGGAGAGACTAGAGAGTGGTGAGTGAGTGGATGAAGTTAATTTGGTGTTATAATGGGTGAGGGTATATGGCGTTAGGAGCATAAAAGTAGGCATGGAAATGGGAATACCACCAGCTTTGACCAATTCCTCTCCGTTTTATACCCCCAGACTCGTTCCCAACCATACTTAGAAGATCACTATATAAGTACATTTAGATATATACACACCAACTAACATTCAATATTTAATCTCTCTTTCATTCTAAAAAGACTTCTTTTTCTATTATTATTATTATTATTTATTATTATTATTATTATTATTATTATTATTATTATTATTATTATTATTATTATAACACTATCTAAAATTCCAACAAGTATAATTTATAAATTAAATTTAACCGTGCTAAACTATTATTAAATCATGAGAAAAGGGTCAAATAAGTCCATAAATTTTATCCGAAAAGTCAATTATACTCTTAAATTTTTAGAAATTACAACCACACCCACAAACATGTTATTTTGGAGCAACGAAACCCACTAACTTGTTGGCGACCTGTAATTACATGTCAATTAGGTTCCAACCAACTCCAACAACACATCCGACCAAATTCCGGCAAGCTATATCAAATACCGGCAATCGGCACCAGTCGTGTTCTGTCGAAAAAGGCAACCAACTTAGTTGCCTTCTCCAGTAGTAGGTCACTGGTATTTGACCTAGCTTGCCAGAACTTAATTGGATGCTTGTCGAAGGTTCGTTGAAGTTGCTTAAAACCTTAATTGACCCTTTTCCAGTAGTAGGTCGCTGGTATTTGACCTAGCTTGCCAAAACTTAATTGGATACTTGTCGGAGGTTCATCGAAGTTGCTTAGAACCTTAATTGACCTACAATTGCAGGTCACTAACGGGTTAGTAGGTTTAATTGCTCTCATTGCTCCAAAACAACATGTTTATGCGTTTAATTACAACTTATAAAAAATATAAATTTAAGGGCCTAATTAACTTTTTAGATAAAATTTAGAGACTTATTTAACTTTTTTCCCTTTTATCATCAAGTTAACTTTTTCTTTTTAACTTTATTTTAATTTTTAAGTGATGGACAGAAGTTTGTATTTACACAATCATCCTACTTTGGTCAATAAAGTCAGAAAAACTAAAAATCCGGTACTACTGTTTCAGAACACCTTAATATAAATATGGAGAATGAAACATGCCATATGTGAACAATAAGATGTTGGGATGCCAAACCAAAAATTTCAATGAAATTTTGAAACATCAACCATCATTTTGAGCCAGTGGCCTTTACACCCCAAAATTTGTCGACGGCAGGGTGTCTATAATTAACAACTTGTACTCCCTATAATGTTTACATACACAAAACACAGCCTCCGTAACCATCCTACAGGGGAAAGCGCTTAATAATAAATGGTGACCAGATTTCATTACCAAACGCAAATACAATATTGCTTTAGGCACAGGTAGTAAGTATTGCTTTAGGCAATGGCATAAGTTAGCGTCTCCGCCTCCTTGGGCCGCCACATTGTCTTCACCACGCAAAGCAATCCTTCATTGTCCTTAGAGTATGTCGTACGAATTTCATAATGCATAGACTCGAACATGTTTTCAAGTTCACTTATAGTCTTCACGTTATCACGAACTATGAGTTTCCCGTCTGGCCTCAAAATCCGATCCACTTCAGCGACCAATGCTGGTAAGCTACACCTGCAAGTTTTGAATGCCACAGCACTATTAGGTCACAGCAGACAGAATGCCAAAGATGAAATGTATTATTTGATACACACTTTGTTTTAATATTGGAGAAGAGATGATCGGCATGGAGAAGATCATAAGATCTGGGATAAGTGCTGAATGATTCGCACCAGTCATGATAAATTCCAAAAAGACCTCTCTCGTATATTATAGGCAGTGTATCAGGAGCATCTATAGAAACAATGTTCATAACCCATACATTCAACTCTCTCAGAGCAGCTGCAAATCTGAGGATGCAAAAATTAAATCAAGATTAAAAAAGCTAATGAAGGGATAGAAGATTATATACACATGTGCTGTAATAAACAAGACTACAACTCATTAAACCTTAGGGCAAGAACTGGTATCCCTCATAGTTCAAAGAAATAAACCATTGATCTTACTATTTACTATTAAAACCACCCCAGTCTTTAACTATACTGCCGAATTCAAGAGGGAAAGTTTGTCATTCATAGAAATGGCATTGTGATTAACCTTTCATTATGCTTGCAGAATATTACATAGAATAGGAAATTGTCTGCTTACCCCCCATAGATGGCACGCATGTCCATGGCATTCCGCACAGCTGACCAGTTTATTCCAATTCCATCCAAATATGACTTGGTCACAACTCTTTTCCAATGCTGGTAATCTACAATAAAATCGGCTGGTGCAGGTTTCCCATACACACCTGTCTGGGAACTCAGTAACCAATACGGTGGTTTTTTCAACCTATCTGGCCACATTTCGGGCCACCGAGACCCTCGTTCTAATGAAGCATTGGGAACTTTGTGCATGCAAGCTTGTAAAGGCACATTCCTGAGCAGATGATTTAGAAGATAGATAGATGGATAGAGATTATAATGGCATCCAAATCTGACATAAATTAGCAAATGGATTGCAGATTCTAAAATGACAAGATATCAGCATCGGTTATTGATGGCAGAGCTGCCAAAGCCAGCAAAAAGATTCTTCAAGGGGGAAAAAAAAATCACTATCTTCAGTAGAAGAAATAGTACCAGGCTGCATCAGGATCATCAGATTCTTGGCAGAGTGGAGGATCATATCGTGATCTTTGCTCATAGCACTCATTTGAAGTAGGCTTCTGAAATATGGCAAATCCTGCTCGATTTCTTCTATCCTTTCTAGTTGTAAGTAATTCCCAGCACATTGACTTGGTTAATTTCTTCATGGCTGCCAATAATCCCAAAAAAATTGAAAACAGTGGATGAATATAGTTATTATCATTTGGATAACAAAGCATACAATCAGTCCATGGTAGGTTTGATCTACCTTCCCAGATCTCAACATCCTGCCGACGCTTCTGGTAGACAGGAGTGGCAGACCACACAAAGTAACCACCAGGGCGGAGCAGACGGTTCAGCTCCAATAGAAGTGTCCCGCCTATGTAGCACAAATAAAATATCAAGCATTTTTAGGGAATTGAAGAAGAGATCTATACAGAAGAATGTGTATTCAATGAATATGAATAAACATTTCAAATTACAGAAATTCATGAAATGGAGAAAATGGCTTTCCTTATATCTAGCACATAACAGACAAGATGAACAAGGTTGACTTTGCATTTATTCTAACATTACCTTCAAAAAAATGGACAGCAGGAATATAGAATATAAAATTGAATACCTTCAATATGCCAGGGAACCCTGCACCGAGCACAATGGACTATATCAAAGACCCTACCAGGGAAGGGAAGCCTCTTTGTACCCATGACAGCAGATATAGCAGGAATACCCCTTTCAAGTGCAAACTGAACCTGAGCTTCATGTTCATCATTGGGTGCTAATGACATAGTCAGCACATCTCTCTCAAAAAGATAGCCTCCAAAGCTGGCAACCCCACACCCAACATCTAATACAACACGTGTACGTGTTCCCCAAGCAATTTCAGGCAGAGTCTGCAACAGTAATGCAATCATCCAGGTAAGCATCAAAATATTGCAAGATAGTAAGAAGGACATTAAGAATTTAATAATTAATGCTTTCCACCTACAAAAACAAATATTTTCCTAAATCTAAACTCTGACCTTAAGAGGAAAAAGAAGAAGGAAAGAAAAACTTCATCCAAAGTATAGTTAAGTCAAACCATTAAGAAGGGAAGAGGCAATTGGAATTACATCCATTAGACTGACATAAGTCTCACAATACTTTGCTTTAACAGCTATGAGAAGATTCTGAATCAACTCAAATGGAGACACCAATAATCCTTTATGAATTTTCACTCATTTCGCCCTCTTCTGTTCAAATGAGAGTTTGATTCAAGTAACCAGCCCCATCAATTCAACCACACTAAGACTTTAACCCAAAATTTGGTTCACATAGGATAATGAATGATTGTAGGTGCTAACCTGTTGTATAAAATCAATATAATGAAGTGCACCACGCTTAAACTGGGTTCCACCACCAGGGAAGGTAAGATATTCACCACTAACTTTAACCCAATTTTGACGTGCTTTAAACCTTGTAAGCTTGGTGTGAGGAACATTATGATACCATATCTACAGGAAGAAAAATATTCAAACATCAAGCACATGTAATCAAGACAATGAAAATGAAACTCTATTCTTAGCAAAACAGTGCACTACCTTGTCCCTACTTGTAGGCCACTTAATTGGGGTTTGATATCCTTGAGGAAGCGGAACAAGGCAGGTGGGAGGATCATCTGGACAATGCCTCTCCCTGTGTTCATAATGCTTTGTACTTTTAAGGTTCTTAATGGCTTCCAGATTATCGAGGCAGGGGATGTAATCTGGGCCAGCAGTGACATTACATAATTTCCAACTGTGCCCACTTTCTTTATCTGATTCAGAAGACTTTTGTACTTCCTTCTCATTTGTTGATTCTGTTGCTTGAGTTGAAAATGCCCCATTTTGTGTGGTAGTTTCATTCAAAAGCTCAGACTGAGCCACAAAGGGGAAATTTTCATAAGACACCCTTTTCTCACTAGAACCTTCTAGATCCTTTTTGTCCCTGGCCTTATCTATTTTATTGCCACCTTTGGCTTCACCAGTAGTTTCTTCAGGTTCTATTTCAGCATCACCAGGATAAGGTTTATTCACATTTGAGACTTCTTTATTCTCTCCTTGACCAGGCTCATTTTCACTCATCTCTCCTTCCAGATCCATCTTATCCTCCCCTCTTTCCCCTATTTTACCATTTTTGTAATCACCATCTTTTTCTTCAGCAGAGGTTTCTTCTTTTTCCCGAACATTTGAGTTATTGACATCTAAGCCTTCTCCACTAGACTTACTTTCATTCTTCTCTCCTGCTTCAAATTCTTTATCCCTTGCCATCAATTCTCCATTTTCATTGCTCTCTTCCTCGTTTTTCTCAGCCCACTCATTGTTTTTATCTACTACAGATTTCTCTTCTATCTTCCCTTCTTGGGTTTGTTCTGTGTGTTTTTGTGTCTCTTGGATACTAGGATTGTTTTCCTTCTGAGTTACAACATCCCCTTTAAATGCCTCTTTAGCTAGATCAGTGTGAATATCCTCAAACTGTTTTGATTTCCCCACCTCACTCTTAATATTCTCATGACTGGCCTTGTTCTCGTTGCTGCCACTGTTGTACCCGTTTTTGCTACTTACTTGTGTCTTTGAGTCACTCTCGGTTTCCTGAGAAGGCACGTGCAATTTTTGTATAGGGACAACAGTCGACGAAGTTGACATCCACACTCCAACTAAGCACAGGGCTACAAAAATCACTATTGTTACTGTCGAACAATAATTTGAAGATGGTTTCCTAACATCAACCCTGGTGTACTTCCCCATTGCCATTCTCCTTCCAGAAAATGTAATATGCCTTTTCACCTAAAAGATAGAATATATAGACAATTAGATTAATCTTTTCAGCCTCTTTTCATGATCTATGGTCTATGGAGCAGTGGAGCTTATTCATTTAATGCAAAGCATACTATTATTATTACTGTTGGTACTTAATGTTATGCACGTTATATATATATATATATATTCCTTAAAAGACTATGCAAGCATTTAACAGCTCTGGCAATTGATAGTTTGATACTCCTCACAACCCACAAGCAAGAACGTTATAAACAGCTAAACAGGAAAGCAAAATCTTCTTGCAGAAGGATTCAAAGGTTGGAAAAAGTAAAATACCAGTAAAGTTTACAACAATCATCCAGAGTTACATTAAATGATCACAAAAAGAGAAAACGAAAACACCAATTATTGACAAAACTGAAATCCCAAAAACAATCCGCTAAAAATAGTAGTAATAACAAAATTAACAATAGCTATGAAAAGTGCATTGTTTAATGCTTGCTGAAAATTTATGGAAACAACAATTACACATGGGTTTTACGGGACGGAAACAAGCTAAAGAGATGGCCTGGAATTGTATCTAGAAATGAAATACCTGCAATCAAAGCTTGCCTCGAGCGCTTGTGGTGAATCTAAACGAACATAAACACTGATTGCTATATAGATAGACACACTCAGAAATTTACTCCGAACAATAGAAATTGAAAGCGAAGTATGAGGCGCTTTACCTGATTCAAGGAGGAAGATGAAGAGAAATTATGGCAATAAGAAGGCAAGTAGTGCCGTTATCATCACGATCATATTTTGATATATCGTTTGTGCGATTCCGGCAAATATTTGCGCTTGCTCTTTATAGTAAGAAGCCAGAGTTCAACTAGTACACTGCTACTGCGGTCTCATGCGAAAAGCACATCCTACCGGCAATGACCACCATCATCGCGTGAAATTTACATTGAATTTTATAGGAAAAGGACAATGCCATTTCTATTTTGAGAAGATACAGTCACGATGTTAGTCCGGCGCCGGTTGTGAGAGGATCGCTTTACAGACTGTGGACAATTGCAGGCATTTCTTCTGTCGTGCATGCATACGCAATACAGTCTTACAGCGTTACAGAGTAGTAACTAACCAACCGTGCCAATATTAATTAAGGTTTAATCATAATATTCTATAAATTTATACCTTGTATTATAATAACTAGTAATTCACTCGCGCGATACACGAAAAAAAATTATGTTATTATAAATATAAATAAAAAATAGAAAAACTAAAATATTTTAAATTATTTAATATAATAATATTTTTGAGCTTTCATTGGTCAAGTATTTATTATTTTTATAGAATAAAAAATTACAATTAAAATTAAAATTAATATTAAAATTATAATTTTGTATGGTTAATATAATCTCTAATTATGTGCATATTCAAATAAACTTATAGAGAGAATTTACATAATTACATTGATTTATTCTTAATTGTATTTCATCTATATTATAATTTTTACAATACGAATAATAACTAAGATAATTACATTTGGAAAGCAAATTTCAAATTTTGTATGTGTAAATTTAAACTCTAATTGAACACATTTTTTATATGATTATATAATATATAGCTATTTTATTTTTCAAAAGTATACTTTTTATATGATTATATAATATATAGCTATTTTATTTTTTAAATGTTGTGCTTTTTTTTTTATAATAAAGGATGTTGTGGCATTAATTGTAACATTAATTATTTCCCAAACCATATAGCTTTATTATATAAAGGATTGGAAAAAGTTATTCCACCAATATAAATTAAAAAAGTCTTGGAGTTGTACCAAGTGCAATGAGAATAATTGGTATAAACCTCAAAGGTTTTTGCATTCATTTTGGTTGTATGATTGTATCAAATGCAATCAACGTTTGCATACTTTAAAGTTTTGCCACTACATGAGAAAGTAAATTGGATAATAATTCACAAATTAGATTAAAAAGAAAATCACAATAAAAAAAAAAATTATGCAACATACTCAATCAAAAAAATATTGGTAATAATAAATTTATGACCTTCTAATACTAAATTCATATTCTACATACTCAACCACTTATTTTGAAATTTTATTTTAATAATTCATTAAAATAAAAACAAATTAATCTAATTAATTGTAAACTTAAACTGCGATACTTTAGAAATTTGAAAAGTCTTAGTTGATATTCCCTAAATACAATGTACATTATTTTTGTATTGAATATACATTATTTTATAGTATACAAAATATGGTCCACACAACTTGTATGGACCATGGTCCACACAATAATGATTATGTTAAATGCCTTATGTAATCTATTGATTTTCAACTATTAATAGTTACAAATAATTAGAACTCTAAACATTATTTAAAAAAAAAAAAAAAAACAAACAAACAAACAAACAAACATACCAATAACCTTATGGTCAAGTAGCATGTAGTTACTCTTTCAAATGAGAGGTCATGGAATTAAGTTTTAGTGGAGACGGTACTACATGTCTACATCAAAGAAAACATAATTATCATAAAAAATTGGCAAATTATGCTGTGCATCCGTATGCACCATGCATGGTGCATACGGATGCAAAAACGACGTCGTTTTAATAAAACGCGCATCTCCCCTTAAAAAAAAAAAATCAAGTTCGATTCCCAGCAACAACATATGAACTAAAATTCCATAATCGATGAACCATAATTCCATAATCGATGAACTATAATTCCATAATCTAATCTATGAACTAAAAATTCCAGAATGAATGAACTAAAATTCCATAATCTATAAACTAAAATTTCAGAATCGATGAACTACAATTCCATAATCGATGAACTATAATTCTATAATCAATGAACTATAATTCCATAATCTATGAATTAAAATTCCAGAATGAATGAACAATATAATGTTGTTACTGGGAATCGAACCTGAATTTTTTTTAAAGAGGAGACGCGCGTTTTTTAATAAAATGACATCGTTTTGGCATCCGTATGCACCATGCATGGTGCATACGAATCCACAGCATAACTATCCTAAAAAATTTCACTAACCATGACCATTCTTTTTATGTCTTAGCCCATAAACAATAGAAGCAACAAATAACTGAAAGACCAAATAACCATTTTGTCTAACATATAATCTACAAATGACTAAAAATAAAAATATGTCATTGGTTCAATTAAAGTTTTTTTATTTTAGAACCTAATGGGATAGTTCAAGTGACAAATGAGTTTTTTTTGTAGAAGAATTCTGGAATAATTCGGGTTTGATTCTCACAAGTGACGATTTTCCTTGGGTCAACTCCCGTGCCAGGTGGCACGAATGTGAATTAGTCAAGTGGACCTAAATCGTTAAGCGGACAGAGAAAGACCTAAATTGTACCTCTAGATGTATGTTTTTAATTAGAGATAATAACTTTGTCATTTATATTGAACTTTTTTGGGTGTTAATAAAAATTCGCAACCAGTATGAAAATATACGATTGTGTAACCGCATTATTGCGTAATAGTCCAGAAATTACACCTGGATGGTATAGGTAAGTGATCGATCATTATTCCATGGATCATGGTCCACACAAATGTGTGAATTATGAATAAAATGTACATTTTTAATATACTAAAGATACATTATTTGTGTACTGAATATACATTATTTGAGTACTGAAGACACATTATTTTGTATCAAATAATGTTCTTAAAAATTTGCCGATAAGTGATGGGGCCACCTGCAATCTCCAAGTTGGCAACAAAAGTAATAACCAACCGAGCTATTCACTTCTTATGTATTAAGGCGTGATAGGTAATACATATTCAGTTGAAAAGCACGGACAACAAAGTACTTAAGGTGAATATGGGACACATATATAACTAATAATGCACACTTGTCAATGTATGGTGGGGGTCTAAACACTACATAAGGGTCTCATGTCTCCCTTCAAACATCATTGTCTAGTCATTGATTTCCAATTAGTACAATATTAGTTGTAGCTTATTATTAGGGTTAGATGGTCTATACTTGTTTATTTCTGGGGCCATCATCCATTTGTGCATAATGCCCTGAACAATAGTATTATTATTTTCTTAAACATTTTATACATTTATACTCGGTAAGTATAATATCGTGTTTTACTTAGTTGGTCATCCATTTCTGACTTTATATTCAACTTTTGGCTATGTATAGTAATGACTTATGTCAAATATCTTATAATCAAATTATATCAACTTGTAAATTTATATAATGATGGAAAAGTTTGCAGATGAGAGAAGGTTCTGAAAATTTTATTAAATGTATTCACTCCTGGAAAAAATCATCTTACAGTAAAGGAGGCCACCAATATATACATAGAAGGCAGTAAAGACGATTATAACAAATTAATAAAAAGAAAATACAATGGCACTCCTCTAGTCTTATTCACCAACTTTCTCAATTTCATTGTCCTTATTGAACTCATAGCCTTCTAAATGGAAGTCCAATCCGGATACCATTAAACCACATAGTCTTGGTCTATTACTATATTTAAAAAAACTAAAATTTAAAGTTATGTTATATAAACAAAAAATAAAACCTACAATTCAATCCATCAAACAAACTAAAAAATATTCAATTCATAACATTCATAAAATGATAAAATAACATCCAAAAAGCATAATTAAAGAAGTATATACTAGTTTTTAGAATAAAACTGAACACAAAAAAAAAAATTCAAAATTCAAATTGTTAAACATCAACAATTGGTGTAAGATATTAGCCTAATGTAGTAATTTCATCTTTAGTCATGTTCATAATATCTTTTGTAATCTCATTCATGACAATGGTTCTTACTTAAATGACAATAGTTCTTAGCGGGTTATAAACACAATCGTTATGCTGTGCATCCGTATGCACCATGCATGGTGCATACGGATGCCAAAACGACGTCGTTTTATTAAAAAACGCGCGTCTCCCCTTTAAAAAAAAAAATTCAGGTTCGATTTCCAGCAACAACATTATATTGTTCATTCATTCTGGAATTTTAGTTCATAGATTATGGAATTATAGTTCATTGATTATGGAATTATAGTTCATCGATTATGGAATTGTAGTTCATCGATTCTAAAATTTTAGTTTATAGATTATGGAATTTTAGTTCATTCATTCTGGAATTTTTAGCTCATAGATTAGATTATGGAATTATAGTTCATCGATTATGGAATTATAGTTCATCGATTATGAAATTTTAATTCATATGTTGTTGCTGAGAATCGAACCTGATTTTTTTTTTAAGGGGAGACGCGCGTTTTATTAAAACGACGTCGTTTTTGCATCCGCATGCACCATGCATGGTGCATACGGATGCACAGCATAATTTGCCTTATAAACAAGTTTGTATAAACAAGTTAATACGATAATATTAGCGGGTTAAACGGGTTCTTAATAGGATTAACGGGTTGACCCGTTAAGACACGAAACATAACAAGTTCTTAACAGGTCAACCGGTTAACGACCCGAGACACGTTAAGACTAAACACTAACCCATTATTTTTGTGTCTGGTTTCGTGTTGTGTTAACGAGTCCTGTCCATAATTGCCAGGTCTACATAAGTAAAATTAGTAGTGCATATTCTCAAAATAATAAGTACAACTTTCTCTCATTCTAAAATAAAATAAAAACTTCTATTGAGCAAATTACTCGTAACAGATACCTTTACAGCAAAATCGCCTATTACTACACGCATTTGTAGGCAAAACTTAAACGGAACGGCGAGACAGCAAGACATCCTAAAAATGGAAAAGCGGTGTAAGCCCAACTCACATAAACGTCAGCCAACTACTCAACTCTTGCAACTTTGCAAGTAAGCCCAAAAAATAATTTAAAAAAAAAAATAATAAAAGACCATTATGATTAATGACCGAAATAAATTCAGTTTACTTTATGCCTTTATCTGGAGATCCACTTCAATCTTTCTGCTATCAAAGCTCTACCACTTTCTGCATCAATTCCATTAGGTATGCTCTCCCCTCTCCCTTTCTGACTTTCTTTATACGTATATATATATTAGTGTATGTATGTGGATGGATATTTCCACAGAAAGCGAACTCCATAGATGGGTGATTGAACAGTAGACTAGTTGTTTGATACTTCTGAGAAAAGTAGAAGAAAAAGGGCTATCCATGGGAGCCCATAGCCAGGATTTGGTGTGGACAAAAAAAAAAAAAAAACAAAAAAGCTTCAATTAGCTTTTGGTGTTCGGCTTATCACATGGAGGCCTCAAATTTTGTTTTATTGATTGTAATTTTTTATATTAATTTTGCTGCAACATTCAAGCATATGACATATGGTGTTCAGTTGTTTTAGGAGGAAGAAGCGTTTCTATGCAGATAGTTAAATCAATCCTTAATTGTTGGGTAGAGTCAAACTGAGTCCACTGTAGTTTTAATTGTTAGAGTGGTGAAGATACACATACATAATGGGAAACAATAAATCAACCTTTGATGACTCCCGCGATGGTAATTTTCATCAAAGCCCAGAATATCCAAGAAACGAAGCGGGCATTGGATACCCATATCCATCTACAACATACACGGGACATTCTGTTGACCCAAACCATCAAGCTCAAGGTCCATCATATGCTGGAACTTCAATTGACACCAATTATCAAAAGAAACAGCAAGCCACCTACATAGCTGATAACTTTAACTCTTTGGACCAGGTTCTCTTCTTAATAGAATGTGATTATCTCCTTCTAAATTTTATAAAGCTATGTCATATCTTCTTCGTGTTGGAACTCTTCTTCTGTTCCATCTTGAAAGGGGTTTATTTTTTCTTTATGATTTTAGTTTCACTTCATTAAACATTTAAACTGGTTGAGTAGTCCAAACATTACTGAGGGATTGATCAAAAGTATGGGAAATGTGAAAGAACAGATGGGAAATATGTGTAGAGAAAGACTGGTTGCAGCAAATAAGCTCTATATTATTGGCTTATGATGCTTATTTCTGATTGCAGTGAACATTGGTAGAGTCTTGCAATATGTGTACTTGATTTTACCTCAGCTCTTGCAATTGTTGAATGCTTTCTGTGCGTTCATGGTTGTTTTCATAATTAAAAGTGGTTGCACTTGAAAAAGAAAGGGGATTATTTGGGTATACAAAGCCTGAACTCATAAAGCATCAATGAAATGCCTAATTTGCTACCATGGGTGACCATTCAATTGTATGATCTAAGCAGTTTTAATGATTTCATTGTAATCACCCTGTCTTGGTAAAAGATAAATAACATGACTGTGTAGGTTTTCCATCTTTTTTTTTTTCTTGGTTTATTCACTTGTTGCTTCTGCATCACTAAGCAGGGGGTGGCTCTTTGCCACTCCAGACCACATTTCATATGCATTTTGAAGCAGATAAATATTTGGGTTACTTATATGTTCAGGTTATTAATGCATTGAGAGAAGCAGGCCTTGAATCATCAAACTTGATTCTTGGCATTGATTTTACAAAAAGCAATGAGTGGACCGGTAAATTCCTGCGTTCCTCATAATTATTATTTTCTAACATGGTTTACTTATAGAGAAGAATTCTTGACAAGTTGAAGCCTGTAGGCAAATATTCATTCAATCATAAAAGCCTCCATGCAATTGGTAATACACCAAATCCATATGAGCAAGCCATCTCCATTGTTGGGCGAACTTTATCTCCTTTCGACGAGGACAGTTTGATACCTTGTTTTGGATTTGGTGATGGTTAGTATTCCTTTGCCTATCTTTGCTATCAAAGTTCCTGGTCTGGAACATATCCCTGTCTCTTGACTTGACCTAGTATTTTGTTTAACACCTTTTCAGCCACTACACATGATCAACATGTGTTTAATTTTTTCCCCGACCATCGACCTTGTCATGGATTCGAGGAAGCTCTTGCACGTTATAGAGAAATTGTTCCTTACATAAAGCTGGCAGGTTTGCAACACTTCTTTTTTCACTTGTTGACTTAACGTGACAAATAGACAGTTATAATTGCATATCTTAAATCCTAAAAGTATATGAGTGTGTCCCTTGTACATTAAAGGTTGCTGACTGAAACAGTGAACGGTGAATAAATATCACTCAAGCCTTTTCTCTGCATTCTAATTTGCATTATGCTTAGCTGCTACCATGCTGTAGAACCTATCAAACTTTACATATTTATGCTATTTATAACAACTCATTAGACAGATGCATCTTACATGATAGTTTTCTATAAAAGTCCTGATATAAGAAATTCTGTTAAAGGTATTTTCTCTGCCCCACCGCATTGATGGAGCAAAAGCGTGTGAGATAAACTTTAATAGAGGAATTTACTATCTCTCAATGATTATCCATAGGCATACTTAATCCATAGGGAGCCCGTATTGAATGAAAACTGGAAATGGGTAGGGATGGATAGCCGGATAGGGGTGTTTGGGAATGATCTATATGTCATCAGAGTATCAGCTCCATTATTTTGCAGTTAAATGCTTAAAATATCTCTTTCCGGAGAACCAACTTTTGTAATGCTTTCTTCTAGTTATTTATATCTGTGAGTGTGGAGCCTCATATAATGGTCCTATCTATTTGTTCTTCGAGTTCAATCCTATTCAAAGTTATAAAATCGACTGATAGTTCTTTTATCCTTTTTCATCTGCTCAACTTGAAGGCCCAACTTCATTTGCCCCTATAATCAATGCTGCTATTGATATAGTTGAAGCACACAACGGGCAGTACCATGTCCTCATCATTATTGCTGATGGACAGGTTTGTTTTCCTTCCTTTTGATATATATATATATATATATATATATATATATATATATATATATATATATATATATATATATATATATATGCATTTCTGAACTTATATGCCCTTGCCCTGTTTTAATTAATTTCTTAATTTTTGGATCAGGTAACCCGGAGCAGTGATACACCACCTGGTAGGCTTAGTCCACAAGAACAGTCTACTGTTGATTCTATAGTTGCTGCAAGGTAGAACTTTTTTTCCTATAATATTCCTTTTTTTTTAACTTTGGATTTTCTTGTGAAGTTTATTTATGGCATCTATCTATTTGACTTAATATAATGTATATAGTGAATATCCTCTTTCAATAATTCTGGTTGGTGTGGGAGATGGACCATGGGATGAAATGCGTCAATTTGATGATTACATTCCTCAGCGGCGATTTGATAATTTCCAGGTACCACTTGCTACCGAAGATAAAGATTGTAGAATCTCTTATGGACTTTCTCTCTGCTTGTGAAGTTGAAGTAGCCCAAAGCAGTGTTCTTTCTTGCTTTTTTTCTTTTTCCACATCTTTGTGGCCGGAACATTTTGGTTGGGGTAACATGGAACTGCCAACAAAATCTTCTTTCCATGTAATTTCGCGTACGTACTATCTTGCAGTTTGTCAACTTCACATCAATTATGTCTGAGCACACCGATATGGGAAAGAAGGAAGCAGCCTTTGCGCTTGCTGCACTTATGGAAATTCCATTTCAGTACAGACTCACCCAAAGCATTCAATGCACGGAGTAAGACGTTTTCTTTTTCGTGTATCATCTTGCAACAAATGCTCGCTCAAAATATTTACTGTTTCAAAACTTACTGCTTTAGAAACAAAAGAGGTCCTCGGACAAGGCCACTTCCTCCTCCCCGTGAAGTAATTGACCATGATAATGCTGTCAAATCATTGCCATACCCACACGCAACAAGCTTTGGACCAGCAGACCCCGTTGCTGCAGCAGAACAAGTACGCGTTAATGTTAATCCCACTTCTCACTTTTGGTTCTATAGATGCAATGTACTTATTTATGTTTTTGTGTCTAAACGAAAGGTTTGCCCCATCTGCTTGACAAATCCAAAGGACATGGCTTTTGGTTGTGGTCATATGGTAAGCAATTTTACTACTTATACTCAGCTAAGAACTAAAATAAAAGTTAAAACAGAAATGAATTTGCAGTTGTTATTGGAATATAAAAGATTGATCCTTACATAACTGCCAAATATCCAGCCGCCTGCCGCTTTAACAGTTAACATTGTTACCTTTGGATCAGACTTGCAGGGAATGCGGTGCCACTATATCTCTATGTCCCCTGTGCCGGGAGCCCATTAAAACGCGAATCCGGCTGTATGGTTAAGTCCCAGCTCGGGTGTTCTTGTAATATATTGATGAAATAACTTGTCAAGAGATGTACAGGTCCCCTGCACTATGAAGCAGCCTAAATGGCTCCACCTCCAGGAATGAAGCCCACTGTCAATATTATAGCCCTTCACAATCAGTAGAATGATGCTATGATGACTTGCATATATTCATTCATATTTTTGCTTTGTGCAGTTAGGGTGTTTTTGGTTTTCTCAGTTGAATTGATGTCTTATGTTAATTTAATATGTAAACTCAGAAAAAAATGTTTCTGTTTGCGACAGTTTCATGTAATAATGAAAGAATCCAATTTCGAATATCTATCAATGAAGTGAGAATTTTCTTATTCACTTGTCCTGTAGTATTACTCTCCAAATTTATGTTTGTCAAGTCTATGTGTTACGTCTATTAGTTAGCCTTCGATCCAAGACAATTACGGTACATTTATAAAATTATCTGTGTCTAATTTAACGAATCCGGTCAGGATCACAAGTTTCAACTATAGAAACAAGTGTGTTAGTTCTGTTCCGTTTCATTCCTTTACACTTGAGCACTTGTCATCTTTAGTAACATTATGATTAATATTACATATACAACACACTACCATAGTACGATATCATCAAGCCAGTTCATTACTGGAGTTAAACCCAATAGTTATGCTGTGCAACCGTGTGCACCACATGGTGCACACGGTTGCAAAACGACGTCGTTTTGACTAAAAACGCGCGTCTCATTTAAAAAAAAATAAATAAATTCAGTTTCGATTCTCCTCAACAGCATTATGTTTTTCATTCATTCTGGATTTTTAGTTCATTCATTATGGATATTTAGTTCATTCATTCTGGATTTTGTGTTATTCATTCACTGTGGATATATAGTTATGAATTTGTGGATATATAGTTATGAATATGTGGATATATAGTTATGAATTTGTTGATATATAATTCAAATTATGCACCAAAAATACTATTGTCGGGAATCGAATTTAAATTTTTTTTAAGTGGGACGCGCATTTTTAGTCAAAACGACGTCGTTTTTGCACACAGCATAATTTGCTAGTTAAACCGGCGATTTATTTTAGCGTTTGATGGGCTTACGAATCGCATTGGTTAATAAGATGGGTCATGAATGACCCGAGCCCAAATAAACTACAATGTTCTACGGAGTATGTTCTAACAATCGCAAATCTCGGAGGTTTAGTACACGCCTATACGCACACGAGTAGATTTTGCATACTCGCCAAAATGGGGAGGAGTATATCTCGGTCGCCGTCGTACTCTAGGAGGAGATATTCTCGGTCACGGTCGCCGGTCAATCACCGCCACGGCAGCCATAGAAGCCGGAGGGACCATAGCCGCTCACCTTACTCAAGCAGGTATGATCCTAAATTTATTTATTTACTTTTTTAAGCAGCTTTTATACAGCAATGTACTACAGTACTGGTACTTCATAGCTAAATGATACAACTCACTTCGTGGTTAACTGCAAATTGCTCTTTGTTTTGAATTGATTTAACATTTGAAGTAGAATGTTGACTGTCTAACTGTTGGAATGAGTTTTAGTGACTCTGGAATTAAATTTTCTGAATAATGTTAGAATGTCAAGTTATTTTGAATAAATTCTGAGTAGGTAGAGCATAGAAATGAGATGGATTGCTGTGAGGATAGGGTTATAGCTAACTTGTTGAGCTCGCTGGAAATTCAAATGCTTCCAAGTTGCCTGATGAAAAATGAAGAATTACACCCACTTCTTTTCTTCATGTTTATTAAGATAATGTGGTGTGACAAAAACCACAACCAATTTGTTCTTACTTTGCTATCATCTAGTCTCTTGTATTTTAATTATCTGTATTGCACAGGCGAAGAAGTCGTTCAGGGACACCTCGCCATCGCAGAAGTCGCTCACCAGCTTCAAGACATAGAAGAAGCCGTTCTCCAACACCCAAACGGCATAGGAGACGACGGAGCCGAAGTACCTATGATTCTCCTTCACCTAAGTCTCGTAGTCCTAGTATTGCATCAGCTGAGCGTAAAAGTGCTGTGGAAAAATTAAAAAAGGAGGAGGAAGAAAAGAAAAGGTACCTGCCTACCGCCATATGCTATATTTCAATTCATTGGAATTAGAGCATGATTGTTTAACCTATGAAAAGTTTCCAGCGTTCTCTTTTCTTTTTAGTCCAATGCATAAACTAGTTAGGGGTTAATTTACTTCCATATGTTTCTGGTCTTTGAGTTGAATAGCATACAGAAAACGAGAGAACTAAGGATGATTTATATTCTACTTTTCTTTTATCTCCATCTCATTGAGGAATAATCAACAGTCAGATTGTGACATAACAGATTTAATGCATGTATGCTATTTGTTTTGTTTCTTCTGAGTTCTGATTGTACTGACAGACCATGCTGCTAGCCAAGAATGCTACTGTGTTAGTGACTTAACCATTGTGATCAATTGGCATAGACTTTTGGGGAAATTATGTTTTTTTGAGCATTTCAATCATCACTGACTTGTTTTCCATCCTCAGTTAAATCTAAATGGTGTTTGGAGCCCCTGAAAATATTTCATATAAGATCATTTTTTGCTGGTCTCTTCACTCCTTTAACTACCAAGCCATTTTATTGTTTATTGCTTTGCAAGTGTAGCTGTGTAGTATCTATATTTATCTCACAACATGAATTGTTATAGACTTCAACAAGAGGCAGAGCTTAAGCAATTAGAAGAGGAGACTGCAAAGAGATTGGAGGAAGAAATAAGGAAAAGGGTTGAGGAAAAGTTGGCTTCTGATGAAGTTAAACTAGAAATAGAGAAACGAGTGGAAGAAGGTCAGAGAAAACTATTTGAAGATGTTGAAGCTCAACTTCAAAAAGAAAAAGAAGCTGCTCTTAATGAGGCAAGGCTAAAAGAAGTAAGCACCTCATGGCCTGGAAGTTATATAACTCTGTTCATCACTTGTCATTATTATCAAGTTTCTCTTAGTTAAAACACTTCCTCTTCCCTCTAATTCTCATCTATACTAAGTGTGTCTTGTCTAGTTGTCTCTTCATTTTTCTTCTCTGTCAATCCGTATGAGCCTAAAGGCTGTGTTCAAGTTAATATCCCCTTGCTCTATTTGTTTTCTCTGCTGTTTCTTTCAATCAATGCATAGCATGACTACTGAAACCTTTCTCTCTCAAAGTTTCAACAATGGTGTTCTTATTACGCGATGATCTAGAACCATAAGCCCATAACCTTTCTTAAGTAGTCCAAACTCCAAAATGATTATTCTGAATATATATCTATTCCTTCCATAAATTCTCTTTGGTCATAAGCATTGCTCTTCCACTCTCTTTGAAAGTCAATAGTGGTTTTAATATTGGCACTGCTGTGGTTCTAAAATATAATTAAACAGGAGCAAGCAAGGAAAGAGAGAGATGAACTGGACAAAATGCTTGAGGAGAACCGTAGGAGAGTAGAAGAGGCTCAAAGAAGAGAAGCTCTAGAACTTCAGCGGAAAGAGGAAGAAAGACTTAGAGAGTTGGAGCTTATCCAAAGACAAAGAGGAGGCTGGCTAAGAGGAGAGAAGCTCTAAAGCTGGAGCCCTAGCCCTAGCCCTAGCCCTAGCCCCTAGGAGGAGGAATGAGTTTGATACAGAAGAAAAGAACCACAAAGTTCGACAATTAAAAAGGAGCAGCGATCCTATGTTAGCTTATATCCCGTATAAGCTAGGTTAAAATTGATTGGTGTATACATTTATGGACTAGAAGTGTATCTCCTTTTTTTTAATTGCATTGATCAATCTTGTCAAGTTTGCAATCCACTCTATACTTAAATGCCCCAATTTAGCAACAATTACCTGCTCCTCCTTTACATTGTTGGCTTTCTGTTCCTTTGTTGGATTTTGGTTTAAAGCATGTAGTATTAAACCTACCTTAATAATGATACTGCCTGTTCCATTGTGAATGTACCGCACAAACATGTTTTCTGCGAATTAAGAAGTAATGTTCGAGCTCATTAACAGACATGAAAAGTAACATAGCAGGATAAAAACTGATCCATTCATATAAAGCAAACACTCACTAATCAAAATGGTAAATTTAAATTTTCTCTATGTTTCTCAAAAGTGTCTAATGAAAGACTAATTCATCAAAATTGCTGAAAGTAGGAAATTGATTATGATGCAGGCCAAACAAGTTACACAAAGAGGTTGGGTCTTGATGCCTTGTAGGTGGTCTTAAGCTTCCTGCTTGGTGGCCTCACTTTCTTGAACACCAAAGGGAACTTGATCTTGGAGTTGAGGAACTGCTTGGTGCTCTCTCTCTTGCAGAGCTTGGCTGGGATAGTAGCTGTCTTGATGATTTGGATGCAGTGATGACGCACCCTGTGACGAGAAGCCATCTCAGTGTACATCTGCTCTACAGCACCATTCAAGGTTGTATCGCGGAACTCCTTGTACATATTATGGTATCCAGTTCGGCTTTGATACCTCAACCATACACCATAATTGTTGATCTTAGTAGGATTCTTCTCAAAGATCTAAACATAAACAAATATATTGATTGAGTGAGCACACAAGAACAGGATATGAATCACCACCAGAAGGTAGAAAACACTGTATGTAGACAGCAGATCATAGCAAGCATTCTTCTCTCATAATACTTGAAATAAAGATGAATGACATGAAACAAAGCTACTTAGCAAAACTTAACACTGCAAATTGCAAACCACAAAAAAATGCCAAGTCAACTGTTTGAAGCATGAAAATCACATTTAAGTAACGATAAGATTCTTTTTCTTTTTTGGGGGGAAAATTGTAATTTATGCCCGTCCATAATATGACATTTATCAATGTCACTCGTGAATTATTACTCATGAATTATTGGTGGTGTAAATGTTGCCGCTCAATTTTCAAAACAATACATATATTGCCCCTCCCGTAAGGAAAATTGAGATTGAGGGGCGGGGCAAATATATGAGGGACATAAATTACAATTCCCTTTTTTTTCATTCCATGACCAAAACACATTTATCGATTTAAAATTCAGGGAATCAAACTTGCATAGTGAATAAGTACCAAGAAGCTAGTAGCACAAAAATATGTTCAACAACAGAAGACTTCAGAAGTAGGTGGAAAGGTAACAGGCAGCTCCATCCTAAAATACAGACTAGTATGTGCACAATGGAATACTTAATGAGACAATCTACACTCTACAAATAGGGAGATAGAAAACAAAGCAAATTTCAATAAATCAGCTTCAACATATGAAAACTAACAAGCTAGGAATAACTTCTCTACATTAATAACTACAAAAACATCATATGTCAATCTAATAATTTGGATAGTAGATGGCCACAGTAACAAAATCTGAGTATATGAATACCTCATTGATAGCTAGGACCTGACCATTGGCCTTTTTCACCTTCTTCAGCTTCCTCAAAAAATACCTGGTTACACAGAATAGCACTAGATTAAACAAAAAGATCAAGCAGCATATATAGAAACATGCCCACAAATATTATTAAGTATGCTTTATTGATAAGCGGCTTTACCAGAATTTGGACTTGGCACGGACCTCATTTGTGGCCCAGAGCTTCATGCGGTAGATCTTAGGGTGCTCATCGGTCTCCGTCGGGAGAGCTCTTCCAACCACCTGGTACTGATGGAACTGTACACAGGAACCACAGTCGTCGACGTCATTTTCGTACGAGCAATCAAGGGCCGTAACAGTACACGTAGTTGTGTAGGCGTACCATTTCAAATGAAAACAGAATAAAAATTCAAACACTTACTCTGTAGGTCACCATCTTCTCCACAAGCTGAACTCCCTCTCTCTCTCTCTCTCTCTCTCTCTGGCTTCACTCCCCGCCGCTTTGCCGATTGTCGCGAGAAGAAGGGGTTTGGTTTTGTATAGGGCCTCTCAGAAACCCTACTCATGGCTCATAAGGCCTAATAGGATTGGATCAGAAGCCCACAAAAATATGATGTTTCAAGAAGTTGATAAAGCATGTGGGCTGTATAGGAGTCGTATATGCTAACAATGATCAATTATTATTGTGTGGTGTGGACCATGGTCTACACAAGTTATGTGGACCATCTTTTGTATACTGTAAAATAATGTACATTCAGTTCAAAAATAATGTATATATTCAGTATAAAAATAATGTGCATTATATTCAGGGGATGTACATTATTTTTGTATTGAGTGTACATTATATTGCATAATGTATATTCAATACAAAAATAATGTACATTTCTACTATACTAATAAGAGCCAAGAGATTTAGGTCTATAATGGGTAGAAAAAATGGCGGTCAAGTTTTTTAATCAAATGAATGACTCAGATTGATCAGATTTTAATTTTTTCTTTAAGATTTACTAATTTATCCTTAATGAATATGATTATCCGTTAACTTTTCCGTTAATTTCTGTTAGTTCACCGTTATCTTATTCATTGATTTCAATAAGAAAGGTCTTAAGTTCGAAATTCGAACCCCATCCCAATCAAAGTTGGCATATTTAGTACATTAAATAAGAGAAATAATTTCATTAGTTATATTGTTTTTATTTTTCTCCAATATAAAAATTCTTTATATTCAAATTCATCAATTGATTATATTCGCTACATTATCCATACAATGTATTTATTAAAAAAAATTATTCATTATCAATAAATTAATTAAGAGAAATAATTTTATTATATTATATTATCTTTATTTTTCTTCAATGTAAAAATTCTTTAATTCAAATTCATCAATTGATTATATTCACTACATTGTTTATTGAGTTAATACCCAAAATCGTCCTCGACTATAGTGGTTTTTCTCAATTTCGTCCTAAACGACTTTGGTGACCTAATATCGTCCCAGACTTTTGTGTTTCGGTCAATTTAGTCCCAGACTTTTGTGTTTTTCTCAATTTAGTCCCTCATTTGTTATTCTGTCCATTTGGTGTTAAATAAATAGACAATTCAGTAATTTTAATATTGGCATCTCTTTACTCATAGACATGTGAACTGCGAAATCCTTTTTTTTTTTTATGAATTACCCCCAGAATTACTCCTAAAACTGCGAATATAAAATTTGATTTGCAGGTCCGGGAGTAATTCTGGGTGTAATTCGTACAAGAAAGAGGAATTTCGCACTTCACAAGTTGAAAGTAAAGAGAGATCAATATTGACATTACTGAATTGTCCCTTTATTTAACACCAATTTGACGAAATAACAAATGGAGGACTAAATTGAGCGAAACACAAAAGTCTGGGACGATATTAGGTCACCAAAGTCGTTTAGGACGAAATTGAGAAAAATCACTATAGTCGAGGACGATTTTGGGTATTAACTCATTGTTTATTATCTTTTTTTGTGCACTATTTTTTTTAATTAAATATCAAAGTTATAATACAAAATAATGTTATATATTTATTTACCAAGTATTTTATTAATACCATGAAAAAATTAAGAAAAATATAATTAATAAAGTCAATCATATTAATTAACTACGTGAGGAATTTGTTGACAAAGAGAGTATTCAAATCACACAACAAATTGAAGTGAGAACTATCTCGTAATGTCCTTGTTTGACAATCAGTATTTAGCGGTTAGCAATAGCGGATTATTAGCTGATTTGACCAGCAAATTATATCAAGATTGGTAAAAAGATATTTGAAAAATTTAACTTTTTAGATTAACATGTAAAATGACCTAAGGGTATACATAATAATAATAATAATAATAATAATAATAATAATAATAATAATAATAATAATAATAATAATAATAATAATAATAATAATAATAATAATAATAATAATAATAATTGTTTTAAAAAATAAAAAAATATAATTAAACCAATCATATTAACTACTTGGAGGATTTATTTACAAAAAGAGTATTCAAATTACACAACAAATTGAAGTGGAAAACTACCTCGCAATGTCCTTGTTTGACAATCAACAATTAGCTCTTCAATATTAGTATATATTTAAAATTTTATGCCGTAATTTTTATTTGCTCTCCTTTATGTCCCGTATTTGGTTTCAACCATACATATACAATTATTTTATTGACAATTATAATCAATCTTGACTATATTATCTTGCATTTGTAAACTTAGAATTACCTATTTAAATACGCAAATTCAACATTCAATTATTTATGCATGAACAATTCTAATATAATCCTGTCTTGATATACTTTAAAGTACTTATTAAAAAAAAAACATTGGGCATTATCCCAATCGCGCAATGCGCGTAAAAAACTAGTAGTATATTAAAAATGTATTTTTTGTTATGGTCCACATAACACTGTGTGGATCATCATGGTCCACACAATAACTTGCCAGCAATGATTATATCATGGACCATATCCACCTTGCAAGGTAGACCCTAGTCCTAAATGACGTGTAAATTATATATTTTTAGTATTCAAATTATAAACTTTTAGCATATAAATTGTATTTCTAAGTCAAAACACATAACAGAATTTGTGAATACAAAACATGATCATCAAATTCTAATATACTAATATTGTAACAAATTACATATATGTTAACATTGTGTGTAAGTAACTTGTGAATACAAAACAAGGTAACCAATTACATATATGTTAACATTGTGTGTTCATAGTATGAAAATTGTGAATTTTTAAAAGGTAAATTGTAAACAGTTAGACCCCTCGAGTACACGTTTCGAGTACATTTAGTTACACACACCTCAAGCCTGTCAATCTGTCATGTTGACTGAAATAAATGGTGCAGAAAATTTTTGTGTGTTATGTCAACTAGATGCTGAGAATGCAGCATTGGAGCCCAGAGTTGAGGTGAGAGGGAGCTGTGGGGTACTTTTGGTTTAGAACCTACAAGACATCAAAATACCAAACATCTTAGAATAAGAATGCAGAACACTTGTGCCAAATGTTGGTCAATATCCAACTAGTTTTATCTGTCAACTTTCTAATAAAAAAGCTCGTATTTTTTTTTTTCCATTTGCGTTCCCTAGCAACGAGATTCGTACTGTAGCATATACAAGTGTAATAAAACATGTATAAGACCTGGACCTTTTTAATATCAAGTCTCTCCGGGAAATCTAACATCTCTAGGCAGCAGTGCCTTTGTAATGTATTAGCTCCTAGTATACAAATCCTATGTCAAAATTCATTGGTAGAGGGAAAAATGTTCTAATCCAATTTTGCAGATATAGGATCAATGGCTGCAATTATGAATCAAGAAAGTTGAAGAGCTATCTGCTGAAGAAGCATGTTCTTTTGAGTTGCACTGATCACACCTTTACATTCGGCATCCACCAAAACCTCTGTCATGATAGCTGCTGCATGTCCTCTTCGCCCATCCAACCCTGATGTCCTCCTCAACATAAACACCTACACACCCAACATTGGAATATTACTTTCACCTAAGTTGTCAATCTCAAAAATAAACATTTTGGAAAATTGATTCACAATCATCTTAAATTCAGCCAGCAGCACCTAATACCTGTTTGTGGTGTGTGATCTCTAAGCATCCTGGTTGCTGTATAAATGGTTCCCCATCAATTTGTACTGGGAAAGGACTGGAGATGTGTATCCTTATTGTTCCACCTTGGGCCAGTCTCCTTGCTTGGGAAAGCCCAACCTGGAAATTTAGAAGCATGAGTGTTTCAGATAGTATAGAGGATAATTTTTACTGTATTATTTAAGTAAATTATAACATGGCAGAAGTGCACTTGGTAAAGGCATCTCTAGTGAATATATATTTAACAGAAAAGGCAGACTTTTGGTTATGGAGATGTTAAGCACGTGTCACAGGATTTGAATACTCTAATGCTAGGGTTTAAAAAATAATAATAATAATAATAATACTGTTAAGATATTTAATTTACAAATATATATATATATATATATATATATATATATATATATATATATATATATATATATATATATATATATATATATATATACACTACTGAATAGTAATGGTTTAACAGACCAATACTTTCCATTAACTCAGCCTCAATTTGAGTTTGAGGTAGAGATTGAACTTTAAATCAATAAGGCATGAAATGAATAAAAGAGTATAATTGGCAATCACAAGGAATGGCTATAGAAGTACAAGTTAAAGAGGAAGCACGGAGGAAACTACAAACTTGAAGTTTGCCAAGGTGCCATGCTCCAGAAACACAAACAACTTCAAGCATTTTATCATGCATAGATTGATGCTCAAAGTCATCATCATGCTCTAAATCATTTTGCCAGAGATCAACTCCACCCATATAGCTACCAATATTGAGTACAATCAAGCCCTCGGCATCCTGCAAGAAAATAGAACTAGTAAGAATACTAATAAGCATGACAGACAACTTCTTTCTAGACACTAGGAATAGCGTACCTTTGGAATATGTATGTCCTTCCCATCTACTTCAAGCCATACTTGCCATGGCAAATCTGCACAGGTTCTGTCCACTATATCCTTGGCACCTTCTTTTGCATATCGTAATTTATTCACAAACTGTTGCAGAAATTGAATTAGAGCAATCACAGTAAAAGAATTTTCAAATGACTTTATTCTAAAAATAATTGAAAATGCAAAACATGTTAATTCAAGGTTTAGAATGTAAATGGGAAAAACATAATGAACTATCATGTGAAACAGAGTAAACATCTATTCAACTATTTGCATCTTTGTCTTTTAATACCCTGCAATTCCTTCACTTATAAAAGGAAAATGAAACATCTACTGATATTCTCAACTATGAGTTTGTCTTCACCAAAAACTGGTGCAAATGATTCTTACCCGGCTGCAAAATTTCATAGGGTTTTCTTCCCTGTTCAAGTGAAATTTATAAGCAACCTTTGCATCACAACCAATACCTACAACAAGAAAGTTTAATGATTATGTGGTTCTGGAGGTACTAGTGATATAATATTTAAGCAGGAAGTAATGATTACATGCACAAGACAGTTTTATAAGAAGTTGAATTACCCAAGTAGTTCATCATGAACTTTGGCTTAACTTGTTTGGTATCAAGAGCTGATTTCTCATGTGTTATATCAACTCTCCAGCGATCTAGCATTGTAACTGCTGCATTGTTCAAATCATGCAGATATGCACCAACTCCACCTTGCCCTTCAACCATTGAGAAACCACCTCCCCATTGGAGTACCCTAGACAAATCATTTCCAGTCCCTAAAGGGAGGACTGCAACTGGTGGAGGTGACTCAAACTTATACCTCTCAATTGCATCAAGGACCCAGGCAACAGTTCCATCCCCACCACAAACCAAAACCCGAAAATACTGCAAATTACTGAACATATCTAAACCAGCTTCAGGACCCTGGGTGGAGCTGAGTTCAAAAATCTGCAACAAAAGATCAAAGAATATTAAACTTAAATCGGCTAAATTTATTCTTCAAAGAAATAATACTTGATCAAATTGGAAAACCAACATTTGCAGAAAGTACTACCTGTCAAATTAAGTATATGAAACTTCCTAATTAAGGAGGTATCTATTCACCAATCAACTACAAAAGTAATTGTAATTCAAGCAAGGTTTCGGGCTTGAGCCTTGTGAATGGAGAGAAAGAATGGGAAAACTCACCTGCAAAGGATTCAATAACATATTCAACCTTCTCCTAAGGGAAGGACCATTTTGAGCTCCACTTTTCTTGTTAATGAAGACTAAAAGAGGTCTTGCATCCTGAGGTAAGTCTACAAGAGCATACTTCTTTGATTGGCCAGGGAAAATATTTTCACACTTCTTTCTGATCAATCCATTTTGAATACCATTCTTATCAGAAAGTTCATTATTACTAATGAGAGGGCTGTCTTTTTTCTCACCGCTGGAATTCTTCAGAAGAGCAAGACCACTAAGCAAGAATTCAAGTGCTCTTTTAGGAGATGAAGGGTCTTGTTGTGTACCATTGAGCATATGGTTACTACCATGTTTGTTCCGATGGCGTTTTCTTCTCATTTGGCCATGAACAGAAGAGGAAACCATTTTGTCTGACATTTGCCTCAATGCCCCACAATCATTTGTTTCAGTTTCGATGTCTTTGACATGGAGTGGAGAAAGAATTAGCCTCCTGAGAGGACCCATATTACAAACATCACCAGACTCTTCAGACATTTTAGCATGACATTTAACATGTATAAGCTGTTGACACCATAAGCAATGCCAAGTAGGAGATACATCAAGGAATGGAATACCACAAGGTTCATCACAATAAAAACAGAAGGCAGACATCTCAGGGCTCACATCCAACTTAATCCACCTTTCTGACCAATGGTGTTGCACATGGCTAAACCCAGCTTGTGCTACACATTTGCAATCCTTTGATGCAAACTTAGAACAGTTAAAATGTGTTGCAATACCACAAACAGAGCAGCGATGTACTAATGTACATGATGAGGCTTTTGTGCCTAAATTTTTTGGGGGCACAAGGGAAGTAAGGCAAACACTACATGTGGATGGCTGTCTACCATTATTAGCAAAATCTTCAACCCATGTATGTTCTGACAAGGGAACCTTCAACTTTTTCCAGGCTTGCTTCTTTGCTCTAGCAGCAGCTTTAACCCAATTGAGAGATGCCTTCCGCTTCCATTTAAGGAATCCATATACAACAGCATAAAGTCCACATGCTACTGTAACCAGCCATCCAAATAGACAAGTACTATAAGAAGTGGAGCTGGTCAGTATCCTTAAAAATGAAATGCAAAGTTCAACCATTGTGAAGCCAATCTATGATTAGCTTTTCCCTTCTCAATAAATTCTTGGGGACAAATAACATGCTACTGGAGCGAATTCTGTTAATGAAACCTGTGCATAGAAAAAAATAGAATAAAGGTTTATGAAAAACAAACTGAGAAAGAAACATCCATAAAAAAGAGGGGAAATAAATTAATCGATGAATGGATAAGACTAATATAACTCCCAACCAAAACCACCTGTTCTCCAAAAAGAAATGGCTTCAGTATATAGATAGATATGCAAGCCAAACATAACTAATAAAGATATCTTCACTATTACAATTAAGCCCAAATGGGTTGATATATTGCTACTTGCCCTATATATGTTGAAATATGTTTCAACCCCAAAATATTTAATAAGTTTCCACAACTCCAAAGACTTCAAGCATCAAAGAGGTGGTCTACTGCTGCTGACATATTCTTTAAACACTGATGAGAAGGTGGAATGAAATAGTTTAAACTGATATTTATCTTCTGTTGTTCTTTTTGGAGAGGAGTAAGCATATAAGAGGCATAGACCTCACCAATTAAAACAGTTCCACCAAGTCTAAAAATCCGGTAATCTCTCTATAGCACCAGCATGGTTTTTGAATAATTGTTTAACAAACAAATGAAAAACCACGTGAGGAGAGGCGTTGGGAACGCAAATCCTATGACTACTGCCACCGTTCATCACTATGCCAAAACAAGCACCAAAATGGGATTCTATGAGGAAGTTCGTGAAACTTAAAAATACAAATATAAATATAAATAAAAAGAGCGACCACGGATGAATTCAGGCCGAATAATATGACAAACAAATTCCTCCGTATTTACGTCAAATCAAATGCAGAATACTAACATGTATACACACATAAAACCAACAAATAAAATCCTAGACAATGTAGATTAAATTTCGGATTTCGAAAATAATATACACTTTTCTGGCTTTAGCAAAACATCACATCTACAAATCAACATCATAATAGCATTTGGCAGCAAACGATCATCGATCTCAAAAATGGAGCTCAGATCCGCATGGGAACGTACTAACGTAGAACGCACGAAAGCATAAGAGAACTCACAAACCTGGAGAAGACGCGATCCCGGAGGAGGAGGAGGCCGCGCTGCAAAGCAATCGCCGCGACTTTCAAAGGCCGTTATTATGAATATCGTAAAATAACGCAAAAAACAGATGGTGGAGCATGTGAGGGGAATCCGTTCTTCTTCTTCCTCTGCTCCAGAGATCAGAAACATTCTTTGATTCTTCCAATGCCTCTATATACATACACGTACTAATATTATTAATTAATTATATTATACTACTATATATTTTCTGCCTAAATTGAATGGGAAAAAGTTTAGAGCAAAAATAATACGGAGTAATTAAACCCAAAAAAAAAAAAAAAAGATAGAGAAAGGAGAATGAACTTTACGGGACTGGCGGGACTTGATTTCCCGAAGCGAAAAACGCGGTTGCTTTTTCATATTTTGGCTGTAAAACAAAATCGAAGATTCGAAATTAAATGAAACGATTGGACAATATTGTCCTCGCCTTTGTTGCGTAGACCGATAGACGGCGTTAACAGGACGTCTTAGACCAATTTAGCTACAATAATTCTTTTTCTGATAACAAAATGGTAAATTATATATTAAGCCAATGACCTTGTCGTGTCGAGTGGCACGAGTGATTCTTCTAAATAGGAAATCATTAATAACAAAGTCAGTAATACTTATATTAATCTCAATACAATAAAAAAAAAAAGTCAACTCAATCATATATTTCATATTAAATTTTAGATGAAAAAAATACTATTTATATCATGAATGTTCCATACATTAAGTGGTAGTAATTGAATTTGATTGTACTCAGTATTTATTTATTTTTACTGTGATTTGTACTCATATTAGAGTTCTAATTAAATGCATGTTCACCACCCAAAACAATAAGTATGTTTGCACTAATGAAACTCAAACAAATGAATTGACATGAATCGCACAAAGTAGTTGGATGCGTGGGAAAGAGCTCATGGACTCATAGTACTTGCTAGTGAGTCTATGTAGTGGAATGAAAAATATCTTGAATCAATTATTCATATTTTCCCCCCTTTTTCAAAAGTTTATATTGTATTTCAAATGATACTATATAGTTATTATTAATCGTTATGATATATCTTTATTTATTTTGGCGTAGCCTGTCATTGTCTCGTAGTCGGTCCGAGGACGACCATCCCTTAGTTTATCCAAGTTTTTAGAATGTGCACCGCTTCAACATGGATGACTTGTTGGATGGGCGTATAAGTACTCCAGTTTCCGCAATGATTCGATTTGCACTGCTTTGTCATTCCCCATTCAGTTTGGCATCTAAATTTTTAGAATTTCGCTTTATAGTCTTTATAAGAGTTGTAGCCCTTTAAGTTAGTTTTTCAATGGCACAAAAAAAAAATCACTTCATTTGGACATGTATAGGTTGAGATATGGTCCAACTACCAAACAATGAACGAGCTATGTGGAAATTTTAACTTATTGTTATTTTGTTTCATTTTTGCCTTGAGTTGTCTAAACGATAAAAATCATTGAAACCACCACTATTTATCTCCCTTTGAAGTATTTTATCAATCCTCTTAGTTTGTTTTTTTTTTTTTTTTTTTTTTTTTTTTTTTTTTGCATTAACTCCAAATACATTCAAAATGCTCAAAAATCATTTAATACATCTCAACCATAAATAAATAAATAAATAAATAAATAAATATATATATATATATATATATATATATATATATATATATATATATATATATATATATATACATATAGGCTTCGAATCTGGTGCAACCCCTATTATACATGAGATCATGAGATCTCATGATATCCATTGATTCATTTTCCATGAATGGTTGAGATTGAAAGATTCTTTTAAACTAATTAAGGACATTTTTAAAAACATAAGGATTAAAAAGTAATTCTAGTAATGAGTTTATTTTTGGTTAGTATTAAATTGTAATCTTGAGCATAATATTAGGTAGAATATTAAAGGTAATAACTAGTAATAATTTGTATTGAGAGCTGATATTTTTAATTGATTATGTACGACGGTGTGTGCGTGCATGTAGTATGGTGTGTGCAAATTGTATGGATGATTTTTTATTTTTTTATTTTTTTATTTTTTTTATTTTTTTTGTAATTTTACGAAAATACTTTATATGTGTGTGCGTGAGTTTATGTATATGGGTTGGTTTTAAAGAAGAAAATTGTAAGAGTAGTACGTGTATTTTTTTTTGGACACCGGAGATAAATTTACAGAGGTGTGCGAATATGTACTCCCGCGTGTGCAAAGCTTAGAGATGGGGGCATTGTTTCTTTAAAAAAAAAACAAACAAACAAACAATCATTAATAATAGGCGTGTGCGTGAATGATCCACATTTTTTTTTATTCTAAAACTTAATTTATGAATGCAGAAGCGATGTAAAAAATTATTTTAAGATGGCGTGTGCATGCATGTGATCTGGCGTGTGCAAATTTCTGCGATGGGGGATTTGAAATTTTTTATTTTTGGTATTTCTACCAAAATTGATATTATGTGTGTTCTTGAAGTCAGATACATGATTTGTTTTTAAAGAAAAAGATTGAAATAGTACTAGGGTGTGCGTATCATTTGTAGTGTGCGTTACTCTTTTTGAGCTGCGCGTTAATTTCTAACAATGACGCGTGCATTGGTGTAAGAAGGTGTGTGCAAAGTATTTGTTGATGTGTGCGTCGGTGTGCAAATTATGGTATTGGTGCGAATTACATAGCAGACATATTCGCACCATGTTGTGTGTATTTTTGTTTTTTTTTTCCCAAAATTATGGTATTGGTGTGTGTGTTACTTGTTACGGGCGTGTGCGATGGTGTGTGCATTGGTGTGCAATAGCGTGTGCAAGTTACTATACCGTGATCTTTTCATAACATTATTATTATTTTTTGTTGTTTTTTCATAAATTGTTATTTTGTGTGAGCGTTAGTGCATGTTGGTTTTAAAAAAAAAATTGTTAAAAGAATTAAAAAGCAGTGGGCATGTGATTGTTAAAGTAGTCGTGTGGAAATTATAGGGCTGTGAACATTGCAATTTATTTATTTATTTTTCCCCAAAATGATTATTTGGTGTGTGCGTGAGTTCATATTGGTGGTTTGTTGTTTTAAAAAAAATAAAATTGTAAAAGGACTTTTTCGTTTTTTTTACCATAATTGTTATTTACGGTGGTGTGTGCATTGGTGTGCAACATTGTGTGCAACTAGCAGAAATAAATTCATATTCATATTCATTATGCAACTAGCATTTCATAAACAAATGAAGACTAAATCAGTGAGTTCTACTCCATAGCTTAATTGTAATAAGCAGCACATATAACAATTGCTCAGACTTCAAACACAGTTTTCTGAGCTCATAAAAAATGAGTTCATAATTTCCACTGAATTGACCATACAATGGTTGCGTATGTGCAGTTTTGTACTAGTGTCAATTTCAAAAATACTAAATATTTTTCCTTTCCTCCACAAATGGGAAAAACTTGAACAGCTACACTTCTAACAAAACAATTGATGTACCAAAGAATAAGAAAAACTTCAACCTCCTCAATCATGAACTTTATCCTAGTGGTTTAACTGCTAAAAGCCTATGACTTTATGACTGATTCTACCAACATAACAAAATAACAATGTAACCGAAAAGTCTACTAAATTTACAAATGTTGACCCTAATCAAAACCAAAGCATAGAACCACCGTATCCAACTAAAAGGCCGAGAAAGCCTCACATCATTCTCAAAGTAACCCTCCGAAGACTGAAAGCAAACCCAAATAACAATGGCAAAACCTCAACAAACGAAGATCCAACAAGTGCCGAGTCCGTACCTTCCCATTGGCACAACCAAAGTAGTCGCCGATATCGGAGCGATCGCCAAGTTTTTAATAGTGAATGATCAAATTAAAAATGACTAATGAATATGATAAATGAACTTTGTAATCAAGACAAGTTTTAGTCTTTTTCTTACATTATCACAGATAACATACAGCAAATTCCAACTGCATATGTGCACTCATTTTAATATTCTATTCTGCAACTAAGTTTTCTGATTTTCTAATCTTTCCTTTCATTTACAAAGGTAATGTATATATATAGTTCAAGGAAATGCTACAATGTCAGAATGTAAAAACATCGCATTCTCAAAATAAACATTTTCCAGGTAGAAACCAAAACAAAACAAATAAATATTTAAACCCTAATTACACGTACCTTCTGAAGATTACACAGACATATAATTGCATTATCTGTTGAGCCTGATAGAACCCGAATTCTCTCCGTTTTAACATCTATGTCCTCATCGAGTTGAATAAATACTAGACCAGTTAACTCCAGCTGTCTTATTACTCACATCACCAAAATGATCTAAAGATCACCTACTTTTCCCTTTCTCATGAGCTTCCACAACCTCCTTTCTCAAACACAATTTAAGTAAATTATGCCAACAACTAATACTCAACAGAAACACAAGCATCAATTTTACAGTATATTAAAGACGCATCAAACGAAGCATAAAACATGTAAAAAACTCCTATTAAAGATTCATTCCATGATAATAGTCTATTGAAATTAGGGAGATCACACATTGTGGGATGCGATGCGGCTTAATGATGGAATCAGTGCATTCTGAAAATTAAAACAAATCTATTTTTTGGAAGAAAAAATTAAAACAAATTTATCGAAACCTCATTTTTCCTCAATGAAAAATTAATAGAAATTGCCAAATTAGCTCTGCAACAGCAATGTAAAACACACACGTCTTAACTAAAGCTATGAAATAAACAAACAGTAAGCAAAACTTTAATCCAAAAGAATGCTATTAGCAATGAAGCTAAAATACCGCCATCACCGCCACCTCCCCCCGCCGCCCGCACCCCAAAACAACCACCAACAACGCCCACTGTCACACTCACACCACCCCAAATCCTAATTACAGAGACGAAGCAAAATACACAACACCATGGTGATAACCCCCCAAAAAAACACACAACCAAGAACTTCGACCGCACAAGAAATCCTAAACCTCAATCCAATCCCCTTCGCTACGGCAACAAACCCACAAAAATCCCGGAAAAAACACCACAAAACAAACAAAAAGAGTAATTAAAAAAAATGGCGATAGATAGTACCCGCAGTAGACGAAGACGAGATACCTCTAAGTTGCTTGGATTGCCTTCTGCTCGACCCATCCATGGAGATACTGACGCCGGGCAGACGATGCAAGGCTTCGAACAGAAAAGAGACCAACCGGCGAGAGAGAGGAGATGAGCGGGAATACAGACAGGTGCGAGAGCTTTGCGTAAAGACCTAAAAAATAAAGCTAAAAATTGAATACCCAAATGCTTAGACAACG